CAACAACGATGAGCACGCAACTGTAATACAACCAAAACTTCATATATATATATATATATATATATATATATATATATACTATATATATATACTATATACGAGTAAATTATACATACAAGCCCTTCCCCAAATAATATATATATAATACATGCGTACATTTATTAAAGTAACTGTAATAAATGTTGTTAATACAACCCTCTAATTCCATAATAATATGTTAAAAATTGACAAAAAAAAAAGAGAAGAAAGTAATGCTAATTAGTGAATAGTAATAAACCGAACCCAAGTGTGCTTCATGTAAGAATTTATGTTACGATTTTTACAATGCAATAAATATTCCAATATTTCTCCCCTCATAGGCTAGTATGTACTACATATATATATGTATACATATGCATGTATTCCTAATTAAATGTCTTAATTAAGTATTTACGATCGGTGTCTATGTAAACCCCATTTAACGAGTAGAGACTTCAAAGCCAACACAAACGTATCGTCAAATATCCAAAATAAGTATATAACAAATAAATTAGCTAAAACTTGCATATATATATATATATCTATAAAGGTTTAACTATATATAAGTGCTTCAGTGATAAATGTTACACACACCCAAGCACACACACCCATACACACACACCATATTTGTATTATCATTCATGCTGCTAAGTTTCTGTACTATACAAAAACTACTTGAAACAACCCCCAAGGGACACTCTGGAATAGATATTCCTTGAGGTAGTGCCTTAAAACTTAAAATAATTTTGTTTAAACTTTCAAAGACATAAGACAAAAACAACAATGAAATGATATGTACTAGTTCCATTATCGAGAAACCACAATATATAGTTAACTTTATGCTCCGATCTATACTACATACATAACTATATTTAATATTATATACTCTTAACTTACCGTCGCATTTTATTTACCATATATATATAGTATACTCTATGTAAATCTTGTATTTTTGACATGTTTTGCTCAACAGTTTTCTACCTGCACACACACACACACAAACACACACACATACATACATATATGTATACATAGTTAAGTACGATCTGCTTTGGCACAGCTAAATACATCATGTGATTGATTGCTTTGCTGTACCCCGTCAAATGTCTGAATGCCAAGTGGTAGAGAGAGAGAGAGAGAAAGTTAGAGAGTATTCAATTTGCGAATCCTGAATGTATTCATCTATTTATGTACACACTCACATGTACATCATGTGAGCGAGTATTAGCGTTTATTATCGAATAAAAAATACGATTTGTGCATTATTCGATGGAAAAAATGCACCTTTGATTACGTATTTGAAATTGAATTGAATAAAGCGATTAAACAATTTGATTCATCTTGTAAGTCCCATTTTTATGTATTGCCTCCGCATGTTAAATTTTTTGGTATATTTTAAGAACTATATGCCGATTTACAAGAATTCAACGGTTATCTATATATTCTATTTATATCTATATTTATGTCTTTATTTATTTATATTTAAATATCGATCGAATCGAATCCCGACGATTGAATAATTTTTTTTGATCTTTTCTAGCTGTCAAAGGCTGTTTTTTTTGGCTAACTCCATTTCCCTGACTGCTGTTGGAAGGCTAAATAATTGGGGATAAACAAATATTATATTAATATAAATCTTAGCCAAGACAAAATCGGAACTATCCCGATTATCATCTATGTTTTTTATACCAAACGTTGGTCAAGTTTTTCATCCCACCTCTCTGCAATTAAAAGAAACGTAATTTTGAATACTGCCCTTCTTTGCGATTCTCATAAATTCAAGTAGGGCCCCTCTAATCCTCTGGGCACTGATTACTAGTAATTAAAAGTTTTGGAATACCATAAAAACGAATCGTATATTTTATATTTAGATTCTCGTTTTGTTCAGGACTTAAATCCCAATATAAAATTGACCACATTTCCTCTTCCGACCCTCTGCTCGTCCTATCACAGCCTTAAAGTATAGGTATATAAGTAATCTCTGACACAGCCTCAACTATGGCTGGACATTCCACCGCCCGTCGCAGCTGTTGTGGCTGTTGTTGTTGCTGTTGTTGTGCTGCTTGTGGCATGTCGCGTCTCCATGTGCCGCTGCAGATCCCTGGCCCGGGCGAGCGTCTTGTGGCAAATCTGGCACTGATAGCCCAGCTCCGGCTCGGTCCCAGCAACGTCCACGCCTTCGCCGCTGGGCTGCGTCTGGAGATGGAGTCGCACGTGCTTGTTGAGATTGCTGGGATCACCGAAGGGACGCAGACAGAACTTGCACTTGAGCGGCTTGAAGCCTGTGTGTGTGCGTATGTGTATCTTCAGGCCATATTTGCGGGAGTAGACCTTGCCGCAGTAAATGCACAGATGACCCTGCTTCGAGGCGCCCATATTGCTGACTATGGCCTCGATCTGGGCGGCCGCGTTCATCGGATGCGCGGACAGCGGTGCGCCCATTCCCATGGCGGGCAGGTACGAGGCGAGTGCGCCCGCTGGCGGCGCCTGGCTGGGCAGCGGCAGTGACTGCAGGGCGGCGGCCATGGGTCGAAAGGCGGAGAAGCGGGTGGGCGGCGGCGGCGAACGATTGGGCGAGGCCGACGACGTGGATGAGGTTGCCGGCGTGGGCGACAATGTCATGCTGGTGCTGGGCGCACGTGCCGCCGACTTCAGAGCATAGTGCAAACGCATCCAGAGCAAATCCATAACGCTGCGGCCGCAGCCGAGGGCCAGGTGTATCTTGAGCGGATGCGGCGTCTCGAAGGTCAGATGGCACAGGTGGCAGGTGTAGCGATTGTTGCCTAATCAAGAAGAAATCTTCAATTAGTTTTGGGAAAAAAGGTTTGACTTCTGTCTGAGTCGACTCACCCTGTATGTTGAGCGGCGTGAGAAAGGGTATGCCCATGAGCAGCACCAGCTCCTCGCCGAACCAGGCCACAATCTCATCCTCGCGCGCCACATCCCGCACCAGACGTATCCGCAACTGTCCCGCATGCAGCTCGAACAGCGCATTGAAGCTGTAAATGTCCTCGGAGAGCTTGATCTGGCGCAGCAGCGTCGCGGACAGCGCCAGCTCCCCATTAACCAGGCTGCAGTGGACACGGGCATCGCTGGGCGCCGCCGTGCCCATCGAGCTGAGCAGCGCAGTCGTCGGCACGCCACACGAGCACGTGTCCTTGGGCGTGTACTGGGCCGTATAAACGCCCGGCCGCAAGCTGGTCCGCGCGCGCTTAGCCGGAGCTTGGGCGGAGCTTGTTGTTGCTGCTGCTGTTCCTGTTCCCTGTGTTGTTGTTGCTGTTGTTGTTGTGCCGCCCGGAAGCAGCTGCTCGATGCGAAAGATCATGCTCGTGGCGCGCTTCTGGCCCTGTGCCGCTGTCGTCTCGTCCAGCTCCAGATTGTCGAATTGGGCCGTCGTGTGCATCGCTCGCGTTCGTCTACGATTCTGTGTTCCAATTGGAACTCGCGCGCTGCTTTTATACTGGCGTGCAGCCTCCCTTGCGTCCTGTTTCGGATTTGTTACGGCTTGCAGTGTCAAAACATTGGCACATTGGCGTCAAGTGCAAGAATTCCCAGCCAGCCTCGGTCTCGTGCCGACATTGCTACGCACTTTGCGACCATCTCGCTCGCTCGCACCAGCCCGACCGGCCGGGCATCCCTTTTGCCTGGTGTTGGTCCTGGTCCCGGTCCCTGTCCCGGTCCCGGTCCTGGTTGCTGCGCGGCAAGTGCAACATCATGTACTCTGGCGCTAAAGCACTAAGCACCAGGGCTAAGCGGGCCCCTGTAGCAAGTGTGCGTATTCCTTTGCCTAATCCTCTCACACCCGATGCCCGGCTCTGCCCGGGCACCCTCGCGTCCTTTTTTTGGCTTTTGGGCGAATGTTTTTAATTGAAATTAAACGATCGTTTGTTGTCCTTGTTCCTATTGTTGTTGTTGTTGTTGTTATTGTAATGCCACCATATACAAATCGCATTCGCAACCTCTCCTCCCTGTCCTGACCCCGCTGCTGTCGTCCCTTCCACCCTCGTTGATAATGCCTTAATATATTGGTGTGTATCGTTTTACTATTTGTGGTTTAGGGTGGGTCGTGATTTTCGCCTGCCCGAGCGGTCTGCGGGCTAAAGCAGGCCCCACGGCGCACGAAATTACTGAAAAGGGAAAGTCGCTTTTATTCAGATAAAATATTATTTTTCGTGTAGCTCTTGACTGTTGTTTTGATTGAGCGATTCAGTAATATGAATAATAATAATATATAAAATATATATAAAATAGTGTAATAAATTATAATATTAGTAATAATTAATAATTTTGCAAGCCTCCAAGTTCGAAACCCCGGCTAGTCTATGGGAAGTGGTAGGGCTAAGAAGTTCTAAAGTCTGTGCTAAAAATAGATTCAAATAGATTCTTTCTTCTTTCTTTAAAGTAGCACAAAGTTAAGGGTTCAAGTCTCCGAGGAGAAGGTTAAAATGTTGATCTAAGTCTGTGAGCAACAAGGCAGTTTGCCTTGCGAGCCTGAGAAGTCACTGGTTCTAATTCATAATTGACTTTTATTCACTGAAAATAAGTTTGGGATTTTTTTGACCCGTCTGATATCAGGCAACTTCTGTCAGCATTCTGTATTCTCTTTTTATGCATTTTGCTCAGTCCAAGGGCAAGCGCCCCGCTATTGCTTGGGCCCAACCCGCACACGTTGCGAGTACGCTCCTGTGCTGGGTAAAATATGCTACAACACTTAATGTTTTCATCATTGCAAAGCCAGCAACCCCGCCGCTAATATGAGGCTATGCGATCAACAGGACAACAGGCGAAAAACATGTGTTGCCAGTCACACAGTCACAGACGCGGAGGGTTGCCTGTGCCAGGGGGGAGGGTTGAGCAGCCCTTAAGTAAGGCAGCGGCAGAGGCAGGGAAACAGACACCTGGCTCAAGCCAATTTCAGTTTGGTGTTTGCTTGTTTAAAATAAGTGGGCCAAGACCTGTTGTTGAAAGCCGCGTTTATTGCCATTTGTTTTTCGTTGCCATTTTTTTAATTACTTTCTGCGATAGACATAGCCGCCGCCGCCGCCGCCGCCTCCGCCTCCTCCTTGGTCATCGCAATCATGACAGCCGCCGCTGGCGGCCAGCTTATCGAGTGCCTCCTGTATCTCGACGGGTATGGGCGGCGGCGTGGGCAGATGATCGCCCTGCGGCTGGAAACCGTTCTCATCCGCAATGTAGGTCAACGAGATGCTCTGACCCTCCGGGTTGCTGTAGGAGAAAGAGCCCTCGGCCACCTGAGCCTCGGCGCCCTCAACGCCGGCATTTTTCAAGTAGCCCATCTCCTCGGCCTGGATGCCATTGCCCGTTTCATATTCATACTGGCAAGGATTGAATAGATGAGAAGTGCAGAATGTAGAATCCACTTTACTTACCTTGTAGGAGCCATCCGTGTTGACTTTGGATTCAAGCTTGATAATGGGAATGCTTTCACCACCAGAGCCAACTGATGCACCACCCCCACCACTCGAGGGCGGTAAATAGTTCTGATTGGGATTAGTCGGTGGCGGTCCATAGCTGTCGCGAGGCGGCGCAGCAGGCGGAGCTGGCGGCTTCCTGGGCGGCGCTCCATAAGTTGGCTTCGGCGCAGGCGCAGCTGGCGGTGGCTTTGGGGCTCCATAGCTGCTGCTGGGTGGCTTCGGTGCTCCGTAGCTGGTGCTGGGTTGCCTGGGTGCTCCATAGCTGCCGCTAGGTGCAGGTGCAGGCGGTCGTGGAGGCTTGGCAGCTGGTGGACGCGCACTCGGATAACCTACCGGCTCCGATGCCACCAGGCTGCCCAAGCCGATGAGCATAGGTATCAATAATGTTCTCCGTACCATTTCGCTTTCTAACTGTTGCGGCTGACCGGTCGTCGCTGGCCTTTTATATGGCCAACAATTGCATTTGACCACAACCTGTTGCACCCGGGGGTCAGTCACGTGCGTGGACACAAATTGCATTTGAAAATGAAAACCGAAAACTGGGCCAATGCGAACACACTGCTCGAAATTGCTGAGAGTAATTGTGGCGTGAAATATCTAATAGAAAATATATTTGAAAGAAAATTATAAAATTGTGATTGTGACCGAATATTGTTAATATCGCCCTACTATGCGATTCTCATGAATTCAAGTACGGCTGATAAGTTTTAAACCTTTGGGAATAAAGGCTGGGGGTGGCATATTTCGACATAGGATATTTGAGGGTACCATTTTCGAACAAAAATAATGTTGCCAGATTTAGATGGCAAATTGGTCAAGAGGCCAAAACATGAAACAAGAGCCAAACCTCGTGAAAATCGGATGAGATTTGATCAAGTTAGGAGGTTGGGAAATTTTGATCTTTGTCTATATAGGATATGTGTATATATGTATGTATGTATGCATCAGTGTATGTACGTATATGTGCATACATATGCAAACCAAATTAAATTTTCGTTCCGCAGCCAATAAAAATATGTTTCTTTTAAATGCCTTACTATGCGATTCTCATGATTTCATATAAGGCTGGCAGGTTTTCATGCACTTATTGCAAGTTGCAGCGTTTATTTTTACACAAATTCTAATTTAAATTTGCTGTCTTGCTTATTTCTGCTCTTACTCAACATAATTAACTGTTTCTTCTTTTTTCTTCCAGGAAAATTCTATGGTGACTGTGGCTGTGTATTTTTGGGTAAGTGCACAAACACATTTATAAATATTATATAATCTTCTACTCAATTGTAAGGGAAATTCATTTCTATGATAATTTAAGACAAAAAAAAAAACTAATAATATACTCAAAAGAGTATCTGACAATCTAAAAGTCCTTTAGAAACTTTTCCTCTGCTTTGAAGCTAGCTTCTTATCTAAGATATAGTTTGTGCTACACAAAATTTACAACCCAATTGCTAATTCCAACAAATGATAAAATTCTAATAAATCGAGGGTACAATCCGGGCTAGAACTGCAAAATCTTACAGTTCCGCAACTAATCGCTAAAAACAACAAAACCGGCCAGGCCGCAAACAAAACTTTTAATTCAAAGGCAATATTCCGCAAGAGGCAGGGGGAGTGAGAGGGTGACGGGATGGTGCAGTAAAGGATCAGGCACGGCACAGGCAACACCTGCAGCAGCAACCCCGTGTGTGTGTGTGTGCACGCACTCATCTAATGCACTTTGCCTGTCCTTGCCCAAAAAAAAAAAAAAAAAGTAAAGGGGCTGCTAAGCCCTTGGCGAACAGTGCGGAGTTGTCGGCTTTAGTCAATCGTCTATTAACTTTTTGCCGCCCGGACCACCTTCATCATTTGCCAGCTCAACTTGTGCCGGCTCCGGCTCTGTGATGCCGCTAATATTGCCAGGGTGGTCGTTGTCCTGGTTGTCCTGCCACTGGCATTGAGCCGAGCCTAGCTAATGGCAATGTTGTTGCCAGCTTGTTCTGCTTGTAATGTGCTGGCGCGCAGCTGACGGATTCCCAGGCTCTGTGGATTTTTGAACCTGTTCGCCAGCGTCAGCTGTTGCCAGTTGCTGCCAAGCAACCACCGAGCAACCAATCCAGGCAATTCAGGCAATCCAAGCCAATCCACCAACTAACCACCACGCACCCGTTTGGCTGGCTAGCACCAAACGCTGCACCGGCTGCCTAAACCAACAATTGTCGCTGCCCGCCTTACCGCCCCTCGATTTTGCAGATATCCATCTTCGCATCCGGTGGTCATTTCGCCACGCACCCATTGCGCATATTTCGCGCCCGCATTTGCCAAACCCACAATACGAAAATCTCAAATTCATAAAGCGCATTTTGACAGAGCGCAACGATCTAATTGCGATTCCTGTCGCTTGTCGACCGCCGAATCAGCCGAAGTCCTCTGGCTTGGGGTTCTTCAGCCTCAGCCCGGTCCGATTAAGTTCTTCAACACGCCTAAATAAACATTTAGATGCAGACTCTTTGATAAATTATCCGCAGCCCACATTGACAGCCCGAATGTGTGTATCTGAATCACGGGAGACGTAGCAACTGTTGACTATGCTAGTTTCACTAAGCGGGGTTAATTAAAATTTAACCAAAAGAAAAAAGCAAGGATATCATTGGTAGGCCGAAAAATTAGTACCCTTATAACGTATGTGGAAATAGTGAATCTCTTGAATGATAGTAAAGATCTAAAATATAAAGTTGTAAATGTTTTTCCCTACAAGAACTTACTTCTCGACCGATTGTTCCTAGTGCAGCTATATGATATAGTTGTCTGATCTGACTTATTCACATCCTGTAAGAGAAAGACAAGACGCTAGCTTTAAAATTGAGAGACTAGTTCGCATAAAAACATACAGATATATATATATATATATATATATATATATATATATATATATATATATATATCTAGTCGGCTGCTGATGCTGATCTAGAATATATATGCTGTATGAGATCGGAGATATGTCCTGCTATGCGTCACACATTTCATGATAAAATTCTAATACCCTATAATACACAAGGGGATAAAAAAGTATTTTTGAATATTGCCCTTCTTTGCGATTCTCATGCATTCAACTAGGTTATTAAAAGTGTGGAATACCATAAACAACTGATCTTATATTTTATATTTAGATTCTTAGTTTGTACATGATTTGAATCCCACGTCACACCTTACGATATATGAATGAAATCAATTTTTAGATATAAGTTAGGAGTTACAAGAAATAAAGGAAATACACTTTTATATACCATATATAAACCTAGAAAAGTTAATTAGTTTCAATTAATTTATTAATTAATTAATTAAGTTTGCAATTCCCTATATATGGTGTGGGGCAAACGGAAAAAAATGAATGTTTGTGTAAAGAAGGAAGCTGTGCATAGGGTATCTTCTAGTCAGGCACTTCAAACTAGACAACTCTTAACTTTATTGAGAGGGCGTTCTATACTAATTTTGATAGACACAATCCTTAGAATTTATGCTTTTGATTTTTCTCATTTTATGTATTGAATTCTTAAGTCGACCCTCGTTTTGTTGAACCTGAATAAAAAATATAAATAATTATTAAAAAATACTATTTCGGCTTTAAACATTTTATTGTACATGCAAAAAAAGATGCGTATATTTTCACAAGAAAGAAAAGAAACATGATAAAAAATGTTGAAACAAAAACATTTTAAATGCAGAATCTGGTTTCTGTTTAATATCAGTTTCAAGGCTTCGAAAGTTTATTGGGCTTAGATAATATTGCACCATCTATTAAATTTAGAATTTGAGTAAAAGAACAAAAAGAATGTTTTAATACTTGAGCAAAATTTATTGATATTATAGAGACGATTTAATTTAAAGTTTAAATACAACAAGAACACGCTTCAAATGTTGTAGTTAGCTTTCTTCATATGTTGTTGTTGTTTTATTTTTATTTTTTGTCTGTTTCTGGCTCCGGCTTAGAACAAAAGTTGGGCCATAAACTATGACGCAATCTTCGGTTTGACTAAGGCTGGCCGCTCAGATATTTGTTTTGGTTATCTTTTAGACTTATTTCGGCTGATTTGCTCATCTGAGCCGCTGGCAAAGCCCATCTGGCTTTAGTTGTCATCAAGAAACGCAGACGAGCAGAGGCTAAGCATTAGAAACCGCGCTTAAAAAGTTATTAAAGTACTTAAATATAATTATTATTAAATTATTAAACACAAGTGCAATGAAATTGGTAAGTAAATAAAATTAGTAAATTGTGCTTTTTTGTTTTTAGTTATTAATTATTATTGATTTGTTCGTGTACAGTTGCCGCTCGGTTTGTTGCTGCTGTCGCTGGCTTTGGCTGCGGCTGTGCCAGTGGAGGACGAGGAGCGTGAGGAGGAGCTGCATTTTGGGTAAGCTGCACAGATAATATCCCCATTATGGCAGCACATTCCTAATATATAGACCTACTGCTGCCTAGCTTTCAGACTGAGAACGGCTATCAGCGCTCGGAGGATATTACCTACAAGGTGAAAGTGAATCCCGATCTGGAGACAACCGAGCAGCCAAATGGCGAGCAGACCCAAAAGCCTGTCGAATATCGTGGCGGATATAGCTTTATATCAGCCGACGGCTATGAGTACAAGGTGCTCTATAAGGCGAACAAGAACGGCTTTCAGCCCTATGTGACGGCGCACAAGGTGAAAACGGCGCAGGATAAAGCTTAGTTAATACTTACAACTTTATTGTGATCAATTTAAAATAAAAGCATGCTAATTAGTCGTAAATCTATATGCGATCGGTGATCAACGAATAGTTTAAATTGTAAGCTATGAAGCTGAGGAGGCTTTTCTTTGGATCGAAAAATATGAGTTCAAATCAAGTGTTCGCTTGTCAAAATCGTTATTGAGTATCAAAAATTACGTCGGTATAATTATATTTTTGACGTCATGAGCCTGTTTGCCTAAGGTGTCTCAGAGTTGAACTGGTAAACGAAAAATCGGCGGTTCAAATCTATCAGCAATTTATAATTGTATTACTATGGAAAATGAATGGCTTTTAACAATAATAATACTCATTCAATTAAGTTCTTTCACACTACATATTGATGGGACAGCTAGAACAAGAATTGCGTTAATATACCCCCTTTTATTAGATTGTTTTTTTTACACGGTATTAAAAGCTTTCAGTTAACAAAGCGCGACTTAAAAGCTCGCAACTTGTGGTTGTGGAAAAAGCTAAGCGTAAAGCTTTCAGCATCGCTGAGAGAGCATTTGCTTAATGAATCTGCGATTGGTAAGCCGTTGTCATTGTAGCGGGCATATTGGCTAGGTGAACCTGTTTGTAACGATTGTTTTGGAAAAATATATATGTACCTACAACTCTTCTATATAAATATGTCACATAAAATTCCAATAAATACAAAAGCGTATTTTAAGCGCATTAAAGCTTTTACAAAGCTTTCCAAGCACATGAATTTTTGGCATTTATGATCAGCGCAAACTCTGCGCTTTGTTAGGGCATTTGGTGCTTCGGTTAAGCTTAGTTTTTTTGTGTTTTGTTTATGAATGGTTTGTGCTTTGTTTTTGTACACTATTTAAACCCCCCGCATTGCTTATGTGAGGGCATTGAGAGCGTCGGAAAAGCTTTTCTTTGATGTGTTATGTTTTTTAAATGGTTTTTTAACTCAACATGCAGAGTTTGTAGGTGATGTATGTTGGCTTTTTGTGAATTTGTTGCTGTTCGTCGTTTTGTTTGGTTTTTTCTTTGGCTGCTTTCCTTATGCAAATACAAAAGTAAACTGGACGGCAATGGATGAAGCAATCGTGTTACCAGCACCTCCGGGGCTTACTCAGCGCTTTTTTTTTTACTTTTGGCTTGGCCTCGCGTGGCGCATAATGTATGCCCCATGATGATGAGCACCGTTTGGCTTCAATTCACAGCCAGCTGTGAGGGCCGACGGTTGCACCTGTCTGTGGAACACGATGTCAGTTATAAACAGGTGTCTGCTGCTGCTGCTGCTCGCCAGTGTTCTCTGTGGCACAGAGAATGGCGCCAACGCTTCATATGCACCTGGCACCGTGCTGGACATTCAGCTGGGCGATGTGATTATCGAGCAGTTCAGCTATATACCCACGCGTCAGGGCTACGAGTTCGGGTAAGCTGGAGATCGAGAGGAAAGTGAAAAGTGATCGCTGAATTCTGAACCCTTTCAGTTATACGCTGCCCAATGGCACACATCGCGATGAAGTGGGCGAGCTGATCAACGATCGCTCCACGCCCGAGGATATACAGAATGCCAACAATTTTCAGAGGAACGCTCGACCCTCGCGTCGTCCGGGTCTCAAGAATCGCAAATTGTCACCGAAATCTCTCTCATCGTTGGCTGGCTGAGCTTCTCACTTATTGTTTTAGACTTAGCTCAAGGCTAGACTTTGAGGTTTTCCCAGTTTTAGGCAAGTTTGTGTTAATGTTTGTTCTACGTATTAGTTAAGGTGCTTTTTCTATGGTTTCCGATTAGAGTTAAATTAAAACTACAAAATGCAATTCAATAAAATATTGAAAGACGATAAACAAAAGTGTGCTAGTGTCAATATCAAAAGTAAATCAAGTGCGGATTATAGTTGGATGTTATTTTACTCGAGAAGATCTGTTTACTGAGATAAAAAGTAGACTTCGGTTGTCATTTGGTTAATAATAATTAATCAACAACAAAACACAAAACAAAACAGTTTGAACAACTGATCATAATCCAACTGGAAGCTAACTGGTTAAAAAAATGCTTGAATGAAGTGACTTCGAAAATATTTTAAATATGCAATTTATATATAATGTCAGTCATTTTATATAGAATCTAAACGGCTTACATTATCGTGTGTGGCTAAGAGACCGGAAACAATTAAGAGTTGAGTCTTTGACTTGTCAAACCAAAACCGAAATTAATAATTTTTAGTTTGAGTTTAAATGAACTGCGCTCATAAGAAGCGTCCAGCACACATATCTGGAGAAAAGGCTCATACGATAAGATTCTTAAACAAGTTAGAGGTTCTAGTCGGGAGCTCTCGACTTGGGGATACCCTGAACCATCTTCTTCCAACATCAAATGCAAATATTTATACTATTCAAGAAGCTACATGTTAAGTTTGGTGACTCTAGCTCTTATTATTTACCAAAATTGCCCAAAAAACAGGATTTCGATATAGATTTTTATCGATTGCTTGGAAACGGAGTAAGTTATCGATTATCGGAAACAAACTCGATCTGCGCGGGAACTAGGAGCACCTACATCTAAAATGTCAAGTCTCTTGCTCTTATAGGTTCTGAGATCCTTGCGTTTATACATACGGATTGACGGACAGACGGACGGACAGACAGACGGACATGGCTAGATCGACTCGGCTATTGATGCTGATCAAGAATATATATACTTTATGGGGTCGGAGATGCTTCCTTCTGCCTGTTACATACATTTGGATTTTGCACAAATACAATATACCCTTATACCCATTTTAAATGGGTTCAGGATATAAAAATAGAAATCGATAAATTAGGAGATTAAGAGATTAGAAAATATTTGATTAACATCACGTTAATATTCCTGGTAACGTGATATTGATTGTTAACGTATATTGTTTAACGTGATATAAGATGTACATTGTTTGTTTGACCCGGGCGACGCCGGGCAATTTTTCCAGTATTGCGAATAAACTTAAAAAAGTTATATTTGTATTTACAAACATATTGCTTTTACGTAAAAACGGCTTGGCGTCAAGCTATCCCATACTTTGGCGCTGAGCGTGATATTCGCATACTTTTTGCTGCATACTCTTGTGCTTGGCATTTAAGAAGCTGCAAGTAATTAAATTTTTACAAATCGTAAGCTTCGAATTTGTATCGAATTCTTCAAGATTTTTGAAGGAAGGACACAAGTACCTGCTCTATAGATTTCTACATTAGAAATGTAGGGACAACTGCAGATTAGACATTTGGAAAATTTTAGTCACGGGTTACGAGATTCTATCAGCATTATTTGGATGACAGTAGGCAAGCCTGCTCCTTGATACTGACTGCTTAAAGAATGTTCGTTTTTATTTATACAATGTTTTATATTAACATAACACAAACTTCTTTTGGACCTGATGTCCTTATCAGAAAAGTCTTTGGAATGGCCAAGTTGCCAAACGATAGTTCTGCTTGCTGGGATTATATCTATAATATGACTATGAATAAAGTGTAGTTTTTACACTCTGTCATAAAAGGTAACAGGCAAGTCCAGGATCGCCGGGAACAGTACTATAGGGTCATATAGGTCATATAGTGATGAGTCTCGGAATATCAGAACAACTTGAATGTTAAATATGATTTAATAAATTGGTACGATTTAATGGGTTTATTATCTTGTAATCCCCGATTTATTTTCAAAATGACGACACAATACATTTTTTTTATCGATATTTTTTTAAATCGATATTTATTGAAATTTATTTTATTGATAATTATTGAAATCTCCTTTTATCAAAATTGACTGATAAATCTTTCATTCGATAGGAAATCTCTTTAATCGATATTTATTGAAATCCCTCCTTTTCGATATTTTTTGAAAACTCTTTTTATCGATATTCATTAAATATGTCTCTAAGTTTTCATCAAATCTGATTTTATTGATATTTCCTGAAATTTCTTTTCATTAATATATATCTAGTCTGACGAGCTAACGATTATTTTATGCCTGATAGACAAAGATAACTAGATGAACTCTAAATTGGAATATATATATATATATATATATAGCCACTTCTACGTCCTACCCAAATTTGACTCTGACTAAAAGTATGCACTTAACGTAGACATTGAATTTGTTTCCAAAATCGGAAACGAATTACCAATTCGCATGCTCCTGCGACGACTGCTTCACAACCTGGTCTCAAGTTAATTGAATTATTTTGTGTTGTATTTGCACATGTTGCGATACTGCGGTTAAGCAAATTAAAAAAAAAACCCATAAGGCTCTGTCGATGGCAGCGTGACATTTACATATTGAAATTGCAATACGCACACTAACTATGTAAATAAACCCATTGACTCGGGCTAGAACGAGGGCAGCGAAGAGTCTGGGGGAGTGTGGGGCGAAAAAAAAAAAAAAAACAAAACTTGGCTTTAAGACATTGCCATTAACGCGCAAGTGCTAATTTAAGTGGCCCCTCAAAGACGAGCTGATGCCAAAGCCATACTAAAATAAGAAGTTAAGCCGAAAGAAAACCAGAAAGAATTACTGACTTCGAGAGGCCGAATACAAAGTACTCTACTTAAGCTAGGAACTGGGGTTTTGTGGAGGGAATTGTGAAAGTTGTAAGTGCAGAGTTTGTTGAAGATGTCTTGGAAATACCAAAATTACCAAGTATATAGATTAGTCCGATATAGGGATCTATGTATAGTTTAATGAGGATAGCTATAGGACTGACAGACTAGTTGGCTCAGAAACAAACAGACAGAGGAATCTGGGTATATCGACCCAACTGTTGACCATGATCTAGAATATATCAAGTTTTACGTTAAAGACATCGTCTTCTATGCGTTACACATGTTATAAGCAAATCTTAATACCCTCGACAAGCGTATAAAAAGATGTCGCCGAACACTCGAAGAACCGGTAGCCCCAACTCTTCGTCTGTCTGGCAGTCTGTCCGTCTGGCCGTCTGGCCGTCTGTCAGAGTCTGTCCAAGATCTGGCTGTGCGTGCGTGCGGGTTGCCAACCAGATAATCAGACGGTGGCGCTGACCTTGAAGATGCGAGCATCTTAATCTTTAGTCTGAAGACGCAACTCTGTCTGGAAAGGGACAGTGAAGTTCAGATCGAAAGCGGAGACAGGCATAAATATATGTATGTAGAACGCGACGATTATGTAACTTAGTCGCAGCAGGAGCTTTAAGAATTCGGAAATTTATAAACACATAAAGAGAATGTCGAATGAGCTTAATAGCGCTGGATCTGAATCCAGACAAGCGACGCCTTCAATTTGCATAAGCATAAAATGTTCGTATTTGGAATATGCTGACGTCTTTGCGCACAATATATATAGATATATATGTATATACTTATGTATATGTATAATTTAATTTGAAGCAGCGATATATGCATTTTAAATTTAAGTTGTGAATTTTCGGTCATCTTTAACAACTAGTTTTGCGCTGTTGTTGTCCACATAAAGCGACCATCTGTGTTTTTGCTATAAATGCGCACACGTTCAGCCCTAAAAAGCATAGTTACCTTTGATATCTCAAACGCACTACACAATATCTAAACATGAAGTTCCTCATCGTCTTCGTCGCCCTCTTCGCCCTGGCCCTGGCAGCGCCACCACAGAATGAAGTTGGAGTAGTCCGTCAAGAATCAGATGTCAGCCCAACTGGCTTCAAATATAAGTAAGTCTCCACAGGCTCCACAGTCATCTCGTCATCTCGCTGATCCTTTTATTTCTCTACTGCAGCCTGGAGCTGACTGATGGTATCAAAACTGAGGCCGAGGGTCAGCTCAAGACTTTCGATAAAGAGGAGGCGGCTGTTGTCGTCAGGGGCTCATTCTCCTACGTTGCCGATGATGGTCAGACCTACACCATCAACTACATCGCCGATGAGAACGGTTACCAGCCCCAGGGCGCTCATCTGCCCGTCGCCCCCGTTGCCTAAGAAGCGATATTAAATTTTAAATAAATTGTTTTCCAAAAAAAAAAATATATTAGAATTTCTATATGTTAGCCATATTTGATTGTTATCAATTCAGCTACATCACAAGCAATCACAAGGACATTTTTCGAGGAGTCTGTCTTAAGGCTAACTCAATAGACTAATTATCTGATTATTATCAACTTAGTTAAAACACAGGAGGCATTAAGCCAAAAACAAATACTTCACCTAAGTACTTGGCCTAAATCAGAAAACTCTGTAGCTATACGAACTAGCCAAAGTTAGTTGCACTTGTTTATCTTACTTCTTTTTGTGTATATTAGTAGAAAAGTAGATGATGAATTGTCGAGATAGAGAGAGAGAGAGAGAGAGAGAGAGAGAAACTTCGGTGCTTAAGCTCCGATTCTATCATTGGCTTTTCTTATATATGGGCATACAAAAGTGTGCTTCAACGAGGCTTAACTCTTACATTTTTCAATATTCTCTTTTTGGGAAAAGTGAAATTATTAAAATCTGTATATACCATACGATATTGGGTATATATAGTTCTTATGACACTATGCCACCGTGCTTAACGAGCAAGGTTGTATTTTTGACAAAATTTTAAAGTTTTAAAATTTATGTTTTTGCATTTTGTTTTAAGTTGGCGGACTGTATTCGTTATAACTTTCATGTCATGCCATGTACGTCCGTCTGTCTGTCTGTCCGTCCGTATGTATGAACGGAAGGATCTCAGAACCTACAAGAGTTAGAGACTTGAAATTAGATGTAGATGATCCTAGCTCTCGCGCAGATCGAGTTTGTTTCTGATAATCGATAACTTACTCCGTTTCCAAGCAACCGATAAAAATCGATATCGATATCCTGTTTTTTGGCAATTTTGGCAAATAATAAGAGCTTGAGTCACCAAACTTGACATGTAGCTTCTTGAATAATATTAATATTTTGCATTTGGTGTTGGAAGAAAAGGGTTCAGGGTATCCCCTAGTTGAGAGCTCCCGACTAGAACCTCTCACTTGTTTTATATTATGAATGTGAGAGGAGATGTCGATAAAATGATATATGCTTTACGAAAATATAAATTTCAATTTTAAAGCGTCTGCCAACGCACAGACGGAACAAGTATATATGGGGTTGCTTCCTTCTGCCCGTTACATACGTTTCCACAAAAGCATTATACCCGTTACCAATTTAGTTTTGGGTTCAGTGTATAAAAATTGCAAAATTGCGAAGTTCTTGAACATTTTTTCTGGATATCGTTAAGAAGCAGAAGGTCGTTTAGTATACTTCGAAACTAGTCTTTTTATAACTTGCGGCTTGTGTATATGTATTAAGTGTTAACTTAAGCACAAGTTGGTAATTAAAAATGCAGGAAGTAAACTATTTAAAAATGAACTGTCTTTTTAGTTAGTATGCCAACTAGTACAAACTAGCTTAATACAATCTTAATTTTAGTGCAATCACAGTCTGTGTAAATGGATGATTATCTTGTGGTCAATGTCAGCTGGAGAATGTCCTGTGCATAGACTTAAATGGTTGCCCAAAATGTTGGATATTGTGAAAAGGTCGCCTTAGTTGGCCAAAAACTCGATTGACTGGCTTGCCAATTTGTAGCTGCTTCTTCTGCTGCTGATGCTGCAGCTTCTTTGGCCAGCTGTAGCGGTCAACAAAGGTGGAATAAATTGGAAAAGACAAAAACCAAATGAAGATACATAAGATGCTGAATACGTGAATAGGTGTATATGGTGAGATCCGCTGCAGTTGCCAGAGACATCAATCGAAGCTGGCTGCAAAGGCCGTTGCATATGTCAAGAGTCAAGCACTTTGCCGGTTTTTCCGATTACCAGTGGACCATACAATCATGCACAGCAGAGCATATATGTAGAATTATTTCGGACTTGATATGAACTTGCGGCCCTCTGTTAACTGTTGGCCAGCTGTCAGTTAAACAGTTAAGATGCTAAATGCTGATGGGTCAGCAGCTTGACTAAAATTATTAAACACTAAAACACATTGAATATCTAGGTACTTGGGCAATAAACCATCAGCTAGTATGGTGTTTACATATTGTACAAAAGGCAAACTATTTACGCATTCATTAAACTGACATTCGGCTGCTTAAAGACTACTTCAAAACGAATGCCAGATACACTTTCAGCTTGTGAATTGATTGCGGCATTTTTACACATTTTCACACACTTTTTTTTATTTATAATTGTACGAGATTATTTGTATTCTATTTAAATTGTTTAAGCACAAATGACAATTCTCGAGGGGAGTCTAAATGTATTGAAGAAGGGGAATTCAATTGTGAGCAATTGAATCGAATCCTTTTTTATCAATCATTACAAAAGTGGTTGATTAGAGAATTGGAATATGTATAGGTATATATATTTATAAGTCTCAGGAAGGTGCACCTGGCTTTGCTAATAAAATTTGGGGTTCGAATCGTGGACTGTTTTTAACCTTGACGCATTTCCCTTTCTAGCTAAATCCCTTTATCGAACGAAAAGTCTTCTTATCATACAATTTGTATATATTTAACCAGTGCATTTGAAGGCACTTTGGCCAAGTGCATCGAATAGTTATTAAGCCAGAATGTGCATTTGGTAATGTCGCCGTCAAAGATTCGCTTTAAATGTTACTTGTCGCAGCGACTTTGAGGCTGGCGGCTATTGGTGAACTGTTGGTAAATTAAATACATTACCGGACGACCGCGAGAGCCGTGTGTCTATGTGTCTATGTGCTTCTGCCACACAATTGTGCAAAATTTATGACGTTGGCAAAATCTGCGAATGCGGGGTATAAAAATGCAGCGAAGATGCGGCATTGGCAACATTGGACGCTCGATTGTCTAAACGGACAGAACGTGAACACACGAAACGCTCAAACAAGATGATGAAAATGGTAAATGGATAACCGATGACCGATAAACGATAAGCGAACATCGATAAACGTTGACCGATAAGCCGTCAAGCATCAGTTTGTTAATTATTTCATTGTATCCTTGAACAGATGCTAGTCGTTGGTTTGCTGCTGCTGGCCGCCTCCTGCTGCACGGCTCGACCCCAGGGCGATGTGGAGGTGGTCGAATACGAGTCGGATAACATTGGCATCGGCGGCTACAAGTTCAGCTATAAGCTCAGCGATGGCACCACACGCACCGAGGAGGCAGTCGTGAACAATGCGGGCACCGAGAACGAATCCTTGTCCGTGCGCGGATCCGTCAGCTGGGTGGCGCCCGATGGACAGACCTATACCATTAACTTTGTCGCCGATGAGAATGGATTCCAGCCGGAGGGTGCGCACATACCCAAGTAATACACACACACACAAACTGGATAACCGATGGATAAGCTCATTATTTGTTTAGTCTCTAAGTTGGTTGTGCTGTGCGTCAGTCAGTCCATCATTCCGTCAGTCAGTTAGTCAGTCAGTCAGTCAGTCAGTCAGTCAGTGAGTGCAGTTAGTGTCGTGCTTTGTAATTGTTAATCGCATTAAAATTGAATTTCGATATGTACTTTTTGGTCTCTTCTCAAATGCTTCACATTTATTATATAAACTAATTAACAGGCTTTCACTTAAGCTAATTGCCACGTCCCGCTAGGCGCGAGGTATATGTGCGCCTTCAGGCTGGAAGCCGTTCTCATCGGCCACATAGCTGACGGAATAGGTGACGCCGTCGTCGCCCACATAGGAGAAGGCGCCCTTGACGGCGAGTGCCTCATTGTCTGTGCCAGGATTCTTCAGGATGCCCTCTTCGGTGCGCTTGGTGCCATCGCTGGTCTCCAGCTCCAGTTTGTAGCCATCGGGCTGCACATCCGAGGATTGCGACACAATTGTCGCATCGTTTGCGGGCGCAGCTGCGCTCAGAGCCAGACAGAGGCAGAGGAAGACCAGGGCGCACTTCATGTTCCTATTGATGTGTTTTCTTGATCGGCTGCCGAAAATAGATTGCGCTCTTGGCCATACGAGTTGGCTTTTATACGCACAGCGGCTGGCATAACCAAAAGGCGACAACATCAGCTAATAAATACAATTAGCACATTATTTGTTTATACATAATTATTTTCTGATACCCTAGACCCAATTGAAGCTGACTGAAAAGGGTATCATGTTTTTTGCACAAATGTTTTCTGTAGGTAAAAGGCGACATATACTATAGATAACTTACATCCGGAAATTTAGACGGATTGAGTCTTTTATCTTTTATCTTATCTCGTAGCATTATGAAAGCTAGACTCACCATATTTGGTTTGTGGTTCCAAGTAGAGTATTCGCATATCCAGAATATTTCACTTTTTGAATACTTCTCTGCGTTCTTCCTAAAGATGAAAAAGGATGCCTTCTTGGAGGCAACGTCTTCGACTTTGGTATTCACATATATTTCGTTGTTATGTTTATTCCTTGAAAATTTCGTAAGGATCGCACCATAAACAATCAAGTTCTTTGAGAACATATTTTCCATAATTTGAGACTAAGCAAAGAGGAAGCACAGCCGCCGCACGAACTTCTCACAGCAGCTACACGTCGAGTATCGAGGGTATCTTCTTGTTGGGCTTTTCCTAGACAACTCCCTTTACTTGCTTTTATTTCTGTTTTTTCCTACATGGGCTTGTGAATATCTGTGTTGAGGCCGACATGTGTTAATTATCGCCCCTGTAAGCTATGAGGAGAGCGAACAAATAATTGAAATTCAAACAAAAGGCTCGAGTAGAGTCGCGTGTGCTCGACTAAAAGATGCGCTGTACAATGAACGGGAGTACAGCAAATGGAAACTTGCCTGTAATTACATTTTGTACTAATTTTTGAAGCTTAGAACCAATCCGATCGTAGTTCAATTCAATTCCGTTTCGAACTAAAAGATTTCGAATATATTTTATTCCTCAATTCTTGTTTATTCAATTTATTAAGGCCTTGTCTGTAATGCTTACACAAATTACGAAGCAGAAACAATCTTAAAAAAAAAGAAATTCCATATGCCAATTAAAAAAAATTAGATGTCTATATATAAGTAGTTTCCTTACTTCTCATAGAAACTATAATTTAAACGAGCAACAAGTTTGGCTAGAAAATAGTTTTAATTAACTTGGCAACTTTTTGTATACGTTGCCTAGATCACGTTATATTTTTATTTTTTTACAATTTTTATTTCTATTTATTTATTTATATTTTATTTTTTTACAATTAAGAATTCTTCTCTATCAAATTTTGCAAATAATCAAATAAAACATGTTGCTCCATAAATAGTAGACAATTGCAAAGATTTGAATCTGGTTTCGTGAACATTTTACAAGCGCTGATAAAGGCGCCAAAAGATAACCGAAAATACAGAAATAAATAGTTATATGCCGTATAAGTATATAGACTATTTCCATTCTTGTTGAAATTTGCATGTTTGCAATGTAGGCCCGCTTAAAGGCGAGACATCCATTTATAGGCCGACTTGAATACATAGTCATATAGTTTATTTCAAGTTTAAATTAATATTCATTTCGCTACTAAATCAATTGTTACGATTTTAAGTTTGCCAAGTTGTACGTATATATTAAACTAGTTTGTCAGCATTTTTTTTGTTTTTTTTTTTTTTGGGTAGAGTATTGTTTTTGTTATGCTTAATGGAACCCCTCAAGATCCACTATAAATACGCAGACAAACAGCTCGATAAAGCATAGTTACCTTTGAAGCCTCAAACGCACTACACAATATCTAAACATGAAGTTCCTCATTGTCTTCGTCGCCCTCTTCGCCCTGGCCCTGGCAGCGCCACCACAGAGTGATGTCCAAATTGTGCGTCAGGACTCAGATGTTCAGCCTGACAGCTACAAATTTAGGTAAGTAATATTAACATTGGGAGCTTCAAGCCTTTGCTGATCCTTTGCCTTCACAACTACAGTGTTGAGACATCCGATGGCACCAGCAAAAACGAAGAGGGTCTGCTGAAGAACGCTGGCACAGAACAAGAGGCTATTTCCGTTAAGGGCTCATTCTCCTTCGTTGCCGATGATGGTCAGACCTACCTGGTCAACTACGTCGCCGACGAGAACGGTTTCCAGCCCGAGGGCGCTCATCTGCCCGTCGCCCCCGTTGCCTAAGAAGCAATGTTAAATTTAAAATAAATTGATTGTTTTCCTGAAAAAGTGATGCTTTTAGTTTTTTGGACTTACAGATAAGGAAGGTCTTCAGATTATTCAAAACAGTCCGAAGCCGTTCTAGCTTCCCTTTATGCTTATGCTGCGGCTATGCTTCCCTTTCTCCTAACCACAGACTGTATGAAATATGTTATTATATAACTGAGCTGCTTGTCGGCCGATCTTTTTGAAAATTTAAGGGCATAAACATTATATTGAAATACATGTAAATTTCAAAGCCCAAAACAATACCTAACAAAATGTTATTCAAATGGTATTCAATAAGTTATGTTTTCTGGTTTTGGTATCTGTAACTCTTGTTTTTGTCTTTTGTATCTATGGAAGTTTGTGCTATTCACTCGCACGTATATTTTAATGTAGATACTGCGTCGTTTTGTAGAAGGTTGTTATTCTAGGTCCATATATACTTTCGTTGGAATAAGGCCAGCCAGACCTAAGGCATTTCTCTAGATATTAAGCGCATGTTTTATATGTGATATTATGTCGCTTTTCTCGCTTTTCATGTAGCGAATTAGTCTATTTAGATGATACTTATCTAGATTTTTATTGTGTTCGTTCAATGAAAACGAAAAGATAAATCTACAAATGCTCAGACATTGTTAGGTTTAAATGGCCTCTGCTTTCTGTATATACTTCGCAACCGTTGAGCCCTTTTCTTTTTTGGAAAGTTTATTTATTTTTAGCAATCATATTCCTTTGGAAGAAGAAGGTTTCGAGTATCACTTGTCGGACACTTCCAACTGGTGACCTTTAACATGTTATAGTTAAAACTATTATAGCATAACATAATTTGGTTTCTTATCGTGTAAGAAAGAAATATCCTCTACCTTTAGCTTATATATATATTATATATTATATTTTAGGCTTATTCCCACTCTCCCCACACTCCCACCTCTATATCTATGAGAAATTGTATGCCATCAGCTATGATTTCACTGTTGCAAAACGCAAACTAAATAAAATACTAAAATACTCTTTAGTCAGCTTTGAGTCAAACACAAACCAACATATAAACTGCGCACTGTTGGAATCGATTGTGCTGTTTCTTTTCTCTGTTTAAAAAATGCATTGTTACATAAAGTCTTAGTCTATTACCTAATCGTTAGGAAATGAAAAGGTCTTCCTTCTTAGCTATTGGCTCTTAAAAAATTACTGACAGCAAAGAAAGCTGAGCAAAGGGACATAGCTGGCTGGACGGCCAAATAAAACCCTTTGTGTATTCTTATTAGGCTTTTAGCATTTAGACAGTCGCTTGTGTTGACCATTAATAAATAAATAAAATACCATATAGCTGCCTTGGGAACACTCCCCTTTATGAATTAAGTTCTTGCAAGAACCAGGTTTTTGTTAACCAAGATATCTTGACCTTGCTCCCTATATTTGAGCGTAATTTGATCAATATTGGTCCACTATAGCATGTAGGAAATGGAATGACTTCTTGACTGAAAAACAGTTTTGTTTTCAAGCTATCGTATCCCATTTGGGATTTACGAGTTCCTAGCATGGTCAACACACGTAAGCCAAATATTATACGTATATATATATATTAAATTATAATATTATATATATCATACATATATAGAAAGAATGCTCAGTTTTCAAAGAAATCTTCAGCAAACTGATCAAATACGAGTTTCATAATGCATTTGAGATATCATCACAACCGTAAGCCTAGAGTCTTGCAGGGTATTTATTCTTTCTCGTGCCCACAGTTGGGAAGGCAACAAAGTAGAGGTATTCAAAAAGAGTTGACCGACTGCATTAACCCATTTGATTTATTTGAGTTGTAAAACGGATTTGTTTTCGATATTTTATTGAATTGATTTAATAATCAGCCTTTGGGATATGGGCGCCTTCGGGCTGGAAACCGTTCTCATCGGCCACATAGTTGACGGTGTACTTGACGCCATCGGGGCCAATGTGCTCGTACGAGCCCTTGACGGCGATTGATTCGTGTTCGCTGCCGGGATTGATGAGGACACCGCTCTGCTGGGCGCTGGCTCCATCACTGGTCTCCGAGTTGAAGGACCACTTTTCGGGCTCAACATCCAAACGCTGATCCTTGATCACAACGTCGTTGGGCACGGCGCAGGCCAGGGCGAAAAAGGCGGCGAACAGGATAATGAACTTCATGTTGTGGTGTTCCTTGTTGTAGACTCAACAACTGTTTGATATTCCATTGCAGCGTTGCAGCGCTTTTTATAGTTGCCCGGCAAAAGTCAAAGTTGAAGCGGCATCAGAGCCAAAATATTAGAAATTTTGAATTTCTATATAATTATTTCCGGTTAAACTGGTAAAGGGGAAGTTGCATTGGGAACTACTTCTGTATACCAGAGCTGAATACCAGTTCCAGATGGAATTAAGACCCCGGCAACGTTTGCTACAATTTGTGCTTGCATGATGCTATTTTTATTAAATATATAAATTCAAATGCTAGATAGATAGATAGAACAGCTCTTGGTTTCCAAAATACAGCTTAGTTGCCAATGGGCACATTGGGCAGATGGGCGCCCTCCGGCTGGAAGCCGTTCTCATCGGCCACATAGTTTACGGTATACACCTGGCCATCGTCGGCCGTGAAGGAGTAGGAGCCGCGCACAGCGATCGATTCGTTCTCAGCACCAGGATTGGTCAGGCTGCCCTCCTCGTCGTGCTTCTGGCCATCGCTGGTCTCCCAACTGTCAGTGGAATACGCTCGGTTATTGCGAATCTCTCTTTCTCTCTCTCTCTGCGAGAGGCTGTGCCGTTAGCTTACCCGAACTTGTAGCCGTTGGGCTGGACATCGGAGTCGAGGCGCAGGATCTGTGCCGTCTTGCTGTCATCGAGCGGTGCCGCCAGGACGGCAGCCAGGAATGCAACCAATACAATAGCAATTGTGTACTTCATGCTGGGCAAATCGTTTCGCGATCGAACTACGAACTGTGAACTCTTGTGGACTTGTGATGACTGCTATGGCCGACCAGGTGCTTTTTATAGCCAAAAACTGACAGAGTGTCCACCAATAAATTACTACAATACGATAAATAAAGAAAAGTTTGTCCGAAAATCAAAACCAGAAAAAAAAATGACTAATTACACAGCGCATAAGCTAACAAATTGGCTTGAAAAACGCACCAACAGGTCGCCGTCAAAAACAAAAACAAAGCGCGAGAAACAACAACAAAATTCATCGATAATAACAAAAAAAAAAAAACTTCTAAAGACAAACAAAACAAAGATGTTCATAGGAAATATTTTGGCTTAATTACGATTGCCGCTTCCATCATAATCATTGCGTTCATTATGACGACGAATTTGCATTTTTCGTAAATCAATCAAAAGCTTCAATTTAATTTTGGACACACTCTAGACACACACACACACACACACACACACACACAGACACCCTTGTATTTGCCATATAAGTCTACAGCCACAGAGCTCAATGAAAACCAGCCCAAATTACCGTTTAAATATATTTATCATTCTTATTTACTTATAATACTTAACATATCTGAATGTATTCATCATCTTATATACATATGGTATTTTCAATATCTCACCGGAAATATAAAACTACACCCAACTTGATTCACAATTCAAATCTGTGTCAAAGCCACACACAAAGCATTCCTTATTTATAATTATTATTACAATGCCTATTTGTTTTTAATTACTTTTAATATTTATTCAAAATGAATGAACATCAAAATACAGTCTAGCCGCATCTACTGCACCATAAATCTAGAATTTATAATCGATAATTTTTGTGCAGTACCAAAACAAAAAAAAAAAAAAAACATTTTGTTTTATTTTTATTAGCTACGTATCTGCATAAAACTGTGCAAAAACATGTTTCTCTGTTGCTATTCTTATATTTTTTCTTGGAAACATTTCAAGTTTTAAGCAGAAGCATTAAGTATAAATTATTTATAATTTATGCACACGCCAAAAGAGATGTTCGCGTGTCTGTCCGCCGGGAAGGTCAGAGAGCGGGAAGACGTCTTCCAGGTTTCTGATTCGTTATTTATTTTTTACAAGAGAAGTCGAATTAACAGGCGGCAGGACGCTGCTTCGAATTAGAAAAAAAAAGGTTTTAGAATAATGCGATGTAAATAAACCAGGACGAGTTCTCGGTGAAAATGAAAGTTGCTTATGTTATCTTTAAAATTTTTTTTGCCTGATTAATAAATAAATTAAATGCATCATATCTAATCTTAAGCTGTCCACAATAGTTAAATGCTAATCATGCACTGCGGATTAGGCGGTTCATGCTAGTTAGTCTAGTTTGGCAGAAATCTATTAAGGAATTAATTAAGACTCATGCATTTTTATGAATACCCATGCTTTTTTTGATTGCCAATAAGTTGTCGCGAATTTTTCGATGATTTTGCGAATTAAACTAGTTTGTTGCCATTGTCAACTGGGCAGGTTGACATCTATGCTTAACTATAAATACTCAGCCATGATATGCTATTAAGCATAGTTACCTTTGAAGCCTCAAACGCGCTACACAATATCTAAACATGAAGTTCCTCATTGTCTTCGTCGCCCTCTTCGCCCTGGCCCTGGCAGCGCCACCACAGAGTGATGTCCAAATTGTGCGTCAGGACTCAGATGTTCAGCCTGACAGCTACAAATTTAGGTAAGTAATATTAACATTGGGAGCTTCAAGCCTTTGCTGATCCTTTGCCTTCACAACTACAGTGTTGAGACATCCGATGGCACCAGCAAAAACGAAGAGGGTCTGCTGAAGAACGCTGGCACAGAACAAGAGGCTATTTCCGTTAAGGGCTCATTCTCCTTCGTTGCCGATGATGGTCAGACCTACCTGGTCAACTACGTCGCCGACGAGAACGGTTTCCAGCCCGAGGGCGCTCATCTGCCCGTCGCCCCCGTTGCCTAAGAAGCGATATTAAATGTGAAATAAATTGACTGTTTAAAAAAAAGCCTATTGAAATTTAAGTTTAACGGATAAATGCCGGTTTTGGCATATACATTTTAAATTTAACCCGCTTACCGTTGTTGTGAGGTTTCCTGAAAATGAGTATAAAACAACCACGACTCATATTACCACCAAGACAAGGGGTTAGATTTTCGATAAGAGTGAAATGCTAGTTTACATAAAATATTTAAGGTATAACATTCAGATGTAAGCTCTTGCAGCTTGACTCGTCTGTTAATTATCAATCAATCAGACGGTCAATCAGATCTCTGTACTCTGTGATCAAATTCTTTATTTGGAAGAGAATATTATGATTCTTCGGTTAGAGGACAGGCAGTCAATCAGACAGCTAGTTATTCAGTTAATTAATCAATCAATCAGTTAGTATGTCAGTCAATCAGCTACTTACAGAGTCAATCAGTTAGTCCTATAGTCAATCAGTCAGTATGTCAAATAGCCGATCAGTCAGTAATCTGTTGTGGAATCTGGTAATTAGATGGGCAGTCGGTTAGCCAGTCAGTCAATCACTCAGTTTGTGAGTAAAGCAGCCAGTCATTCAGTTGGTAAATAAGTCAGTCAGTCAATCAGGCAATTAGTCAGTCAGTCATTTAGTTAGTGAAGGAGCCAATCAATCAGTCAATTCTTCTCTTTAATCAGGTAATCAGAAATTCGGTCAATTGGTCAGTCAGTCAATCAGTAAGTCAGTTATTCAAATAGTCAATCGTCAGTCAATCAACTTTGAATCAGTTATTCAATTAGCCAGACAGTCAATCACTCAGCTTTTTGGCCCGTCAGTCAAGCAGTCAATCCGTCATTAAATCAATCAATCAATCGATCAGTCAGCTGGTCAATCAGTCATAAATAAGCTAATCAGATAATCAGTCAGTCAATAAGTCGCTTAACCAGCTATTCAAAAAACCAGTCGGTCAATCAGTCAGCCAATCAATCAATCAATCAATCACTCAATTAGTCAATTAGTCACTACTTTCTGGAATTACTTTGTGAATGTGCTCTAAATTGTTTGGTCAATCAGTCAGTCCCTCAGTCACACAGTCATTAATTTAAAATGAAAATAATTTGTAAAGAAACATTTGTTGTGTATGGAACATGAAACTGTTGGTATATTATTAAGCATGACTATGAGATTTTCAAATTGTTGTTTGTTTGTTTGCAAAATGATTTGATAGATCTTAAACCTAGTTAACATATGGGTGTGGGATGCCTAGGGGCTTATTGAACGGCGCGCGGCAGATGGTCACCCTGCGGCTGGAAGCCGTTCTCATCGGCGACATAGTTGAGTGTATAGGTCTGACCATCATCGCCAACATAGGAGTAGACGCCATGTACTGCAATTGCCTCGTGCTCGGTGCCCACGTTCTTCAGCTGGCCCTCCTCCTGATGTGACTTGCCGTCGCTCGTCTCCACACTGATAAAGAGAGAGAGAGAGAGAGAGAGAGAAGGAATTAAACCAGTTTTGTTTGCCGACCTTGACACACTCTTCTGTCGGCAGCTCGATTTGTACTCACGCAAACTTATAGCCCTCCGGCTGCACATCGGAGTCGAAGCGCAGCACCTGAGCCTCTTGCTGTGGAGGTGCAGCCTGCACGGCGACGCAGGCCACGATGGCAACAAGAGCGGCAACAAAGGCGTACGAGTACTTCATTTTGGCTAAGAAGTTGATTTTTCTTTTTCTGGCCGGACTTGTGGTGCGTTCAAGGAGCTTGCAGTTAATGCATACCAACTGTAACCGCAGCAGCCAATTTATAGCCAGACTCCTGCAAAAGATTGCCAAAAATAAAAAATAAAAAAAACCCGAAAAGAAAGACAAAGGAAAAAAAAAACAAACTGAAGTACAAGAAAGATAAAAGATATAAGTGTACCCTAAACCCGTTTAACTGTGGCCAACCTTTATTACTTAACTTGGCTGATTGCTGCTGATGGCTGCTGCTTGTCTTTTGGCAATTGGCTTTGATTGATTACAGCCGGACCTCACCCAACCATTATTTGCCAGAGACAAAGCGGGCACAGCCAGGCTTGGATTGGGATAAAGTTGTAGATATAATCGATGAATCGTAACGGGGTCACTTGTATTTGGCTCAAGTGCAAGTGAAATGCCCAAATCCCCCCAAGAAAACAAATCTCTTAATTTTTGCTTGCCATTTAACGTTTCAGCACCATTTGAACTTTTTCGACTGCATCAATTTCGTGTTTTAGTCAGATTTGTAGCTCGTTTGCTTTCTTTCTTCGTACGTCATTCGCGCATCGTTTAGCCCCTCATTTTATTGTACTTATGCATTTACACAGAGAAAAACGAAACAAAGCAAGCTAAGGCTGCGTGGGCGAAAGTTTTTTATTTTCATTTGTCTAAAAACGTGATAACCAATTGCTGAAATCACCTTTGATGGCGATCTTATTGGGCGTAACACTGACGTTTAAAATTTAGGCATAAACACTAAGCCCGGGCAAGGCCGGGTAACAATATCTATGTGTGCAGTTAGACCAGATTTACTTCACTTTCCTCACAGCTCCCAACGCTGCGCTTAAAACTAAGTAGTTTATTTTACGTATCGCCTTACTATTCGATTCCCATGAATTCAAGTACAAGCATATATGTATGTGCATGTACGCATGTTTGTATTTATGCATGCATGCATGTATGTATTTATGTATGTGTGTATCTATGTGTATATGTATAAATGTATGCATGCTTGTATGTCTGTACGTATGTCTGTACGTATGTATGTATCTATGTATGCATCTATGTATGTATGTATATAGTTTCTTTCTTATCCAGCGCATACCAAGTAAACTTCCCGCTGCGCTTCAAATCAAATAACATATTTTTAAACATCGCTCTACTATTCGCTTCTCATGAATTCATAAAAGGCTGCCAGATTTTTCTGCTTTTATTAGAAGTATTTTTAATTTACTCTATTTATGTTTCCTATAGTCTATATATATCTTTCTCTCTCTTTTTTTTTAATATTATTTATATTTTATTCTCAAAACCTAACTAATTCTTTAATTCTTTTCTTTCAGTGATGTGGACATATTCGGGTAAGTGCATATCAATATATTTTATGCTTTGGGTTCTGGTATATGAGATAAGAAATTATTATTATTATTTGCAAAAAAGCAAAGACAAGGTATATGAAAAAGATCATATTCTTAGCCTCATTGTTTGAGTGACTTATGATATTGATATTCAAATTTGAATGCGAACATATAGGGTTTCAATTAACATTAGCTTGCGATGGTTTGGCTTATACCTGCTTTCCCATATTCATGAACCTCCTTCTTTTTTTTTTGGGCATCTGATTTGGTTCAAGGCTGGGTTTGAATCCGGTTTCTTACCAAATATTAAAAATACAAAACTCGCAGATCAATGATAATAGCTGCAGCTTAAAAGTAAGTATACATATGAAAGTTTCAGTTTTCTCAGCTCTTAAATCCAATTGAAATTGTTCTCGTTTTTTTTCCGCCGTGTACTAAGACCAGATATTCAAATATTTTGCACAATCGACATTAGTCGCAGCTGCGCCGCGATGCAGGACAGTTGGAACCGGCGCTTCTCATGATCACACCAAAGATTCTCGGCCTGCTCGGCCTGCTGGCAGCTTTGGCAATTGCCCGCGTCAATGCCAGCCCCAACGATGCGCAGATATTGAAATTTGAAAATGTGAACTTGGATGGCAACGGCTATGCCTTCTAGTAGGTGGACGTCCACGGAGCTAATTGAATTGAAATTAATTGTGTCAAGCATTCGCAACAGCTACGAGACGAGCGACGGCATCTCGCGCCAGGAGACGGCCCAACTGAAGCATGCCGGCACCGCAGAGGAAGCTATTGCCGTGCAGGGTAGCGTTAAATGGGTGGGACCCGACGGTGTACACTATAAGCTCAACTATCTGGCCGACGAGAATGGATTTCAGCCGGAAGGCGAACATCTGCCGCGCCAGGAAACGTCCGGAATGCTCTGATCACGTGATCACCTGTGCTTTTTTTGTTCAAATGTTAAACGATGTCCATAAATATCCAAATTTCTAGTTTGTTGATTTTTGACAATGTCAGGCCATCAATTTTCACCACTCAAATTCATTCTAACACAGCATTAAATTAGCAAATGGCTCTACATATATATATGTGTATATATAACACAAATATCAGCTGTCTGTTTCAAGTCGAGTATTGAATACCCTCGCAGACATGTACCTAATGTGCGGTAGATATATTCACAAAAGTGTCCGAAAGGTACAATAATTACTAAAGAGACTTACTCTGGGCTATAAAGTGTGCGATTAGACGAAAAAAAAGAAGTGTGCCTTTGCGTCGAACCATTAAAGGAAATGTCACCGGTTCAAATCTTAAATTCTTTAACATTTTCATATATGGGGTATGTGCGATTAGACGGGCAAAAAAAATATGCCCTTGCGTCGAACCATTAAAAGAGATGTCGCTGGTTCAAATCCAGAAATTCATTAAAATTTGTATATATGGGGTACAAATTGTGCGATTAGACGGGCAAATAAATTATGCCCTTGCGTCGAACCATTAAAAGAGATGTCGCTGGTTCAAATCCAGAAATTCTTTGAAATTTTATATATGTCTGCTCAATTTGTTATCAATCCCAAGGAAACTAGCATTAAAAACGAAATTTTAAATTTTTGCAAAGATGTTACACGTGGCATGACAATACTAATAAACTCTCTGGCAGGGTATTTAAGAGATAAACCCGTTGCTGAACAGTTGTCGGGTTGCGTGAACAGAGTCAGCTGGCCAGGGCCGGACCGGTTCAATAAACACGCTTCGCCAAAGACGGCAACGAAAGTGAGAACTGCACAGCAACAACAGCTGAGAAAATATTAAATACAAAAAATTGTTTAAACCGAAAAAAAAAACACCAGTCAGTTCAGCTAAAGGGCAAACTAGTGCAGCTGGGGCCAACATCGTGTTGGGCAATTAACGGGCGCATCTTTTGGCCAAGCGCCTCATTTATCAATCGTAACTGCAAAACAATCAAACAACGTCAAGAGTTACGTTCCGACTGGCCAGTCACTTGGCGGCTCCTCAATGCTGATTGATGAGCAGCCGCAGCAGCAGCAGCAGCAGCCGAGGGGGACGGAAGGGGAACGCGGAGCTAAGCTGAGCGGCTGTTAAATGCGCTACAATACATTACGCATACGCCCTGTACACAGTCGTCAGCGCAGCGCAGCTTTATTCAGTTTTTATTTTATTGACTAAGGTCATCAACACACACACACACACACACACACACACATGCACACACACCCAAGCTAAAGCTCGAATCTCGTGTCGCATCTTCACTTAACAAGTTGTGCCCGCCCCCGCCCGCTTAATCGTCGGCTGGCGATGCAGCCTCTAGTTTTGGGTCTTTTTGAAGGTCAACTTGACGCGGCTTTATAAAATTGTGTCACCTTATAACATAAATATGCATATCTCGGTATTTTGACTACATTCTATATGTACTATTCGAGCTTTACCAGGAAAAACGCAAATAAGACTTAAATTAAAAAAAGAATACATGATTTTTTAAAACATTTTCAATGCTGATCTTTAAAAATGTTAAAAGTAAGAGTGCTCGACTAGCAGTTACCCTGTACATACCTGTCTTTACAATAATTGTAGCTTCGCCCTACACATGCACACACACATAGAAACACGCTTACGCGTACATACACACAGATGCCCATGCACTTGGGAGGGCTTCTTTTAAGCTTAACCACACTATGGTAACTGCGGTCTCTTACGATCGATCTTTATGACATTTTCAGGGAATATATGCGATATTCAAGTGTGTGTAAAATTCAAAGCCCAATGCTATAACTCTGAAAATACCATTTCCCACAATTTTAGTATAGAGACTTTAAGGGTATAGAATCCAAGCAGAGATATACTTTGAATCTTGCTACATGCCATGCGAAAGTCTTTATACTATATTTATTGCCTCTAGCTCTTATATGCTGCAAGATATGCTTATGAGAATTTCGATATCGATTTTTATCGATTTCATGCTCAGATTTCCTATGCTCTAACTCTTAAGGTTCTCGAAGAGGCCTTCTTCTGCCTGTTACATATATGCGCACAAAAACATCATACCCAGCCTTAGCCATTTTTAATAGCTGTCGGCTATAGAAACAGCTGCACTATAATATTATTTTTTAGCTTCTTTTTCTCGATGTTCAAGTCGTACGACCAACAAGTGCGTGGCCCTGGAATAGCCTAAATATATTAAATATATCTGCGCTTAAGACTCAAATTAGTCAGATCTTATCTGTTGGCTTGCTGGTTAAGATTGAGGAACTTTTTTGGTTTCCTGTTAAATAATATTATATTTATTTATATACATATATAAATGCTTATATATTTTTTTATAATAATTATTTCCTGTTGCTGCTGTCTAATTATATTTTTTGTTTTAGACACATTTTGTTTTGTGCGTAAGTAAATTCAGCCGTTGACCTATTGCCATAGATATGCAAACACGCGCGTCTAACCAAATATTTGCAAGCACATTTCATTATCATGATTACGTTTGGCTCGCGGTTCGAGATTTGAGATTCGACAAGATTCACTTGGCGGCCAATTCAAATGAGATGCGAGTGTACATCAAATGCTTAATGGGTTTTTGGCTTGTTCAATTAAAAGCTTAAGACAAGCACACACACACACACACACGCACAACCACGCACAACCAGACAAAGTCTTGGGCATGCCCAGAGCAGAGTCAACAATTATATAATTTGTGTGCATTAAAGGCGATTGTTATGGCTACCTTATTGTGTGTTTGTTTGTGTGTGCGTGTGTGTGTGGTGTGTGTGTGGTGTGTGTGTGGGAGCTCTTTGGACAGCCTGATGAATTAGTATAAATAGCTGGCAGCTCATTAGCAGGCGCCACATAAGTCGTTAGCGCCTAATTGTGACAAGTACGGTAGCGTGTCGTGAACTCTTGATCTGAAATACGAAAAAATACCATTCGAAAATGCGTGGAATCAACGTTTGTGTCTTCGTCCTGATCGGTTTTCTGCTCCTGTCCAGCAGCCAGGCGGCGCCGTTGGATGACTCACAGCAGGCAACAATTTTGCGTTACGATAACGAAAATATCGGCACCGATGGCTATAACTTTGCGTGCGTACAGCCCAGGGGCAAGAGGATATCTAATTGAAATTCCCACTTGATTTACAGCTACGAGACAAGCGATGGCGTCACACGCCAGGAGCAGGCCGAGCTGAAGAACGCCGGCACCGAACAGGAGGCGCTCAGCGTGCGAGGCTCCGTCAGCTGGGTGGCGCCCGATGGCCAGACCTATACGCTGAACTATATTGCCGACGAGAACGGTTTCCAGCCACAGGGTGACCATTTGCCGCACAACTGAAGCAGCCACAAATGGATCATTGGCTCGGATTAAGTAATCAGTATTTTCTTGTTTAATAAAATAAAACAAAAGAGGGCTCTAGTCGGGAGTGCCCGACTAGGGTATACCTTGAACCATCTTCTACCAACACCAAATGCTGCTCATATTAAGAGGAGGAGGGGGGCTTTGGCTCTCTATATGACAATTTTCGTAACTCTAGCTCTTAAAATCAAAGAGGTTTGTTCAAGAAATAGGATTTCGATATCGATTAATTTCGATTGTTGCGATTATCGGGCACTAACACGGAATGTGCGCGCACTGGCAGGACGGGCAGACAATGCTAGATCGACTCGAGAATACATATACCTTATGGGATTGGAGATGCTTCCTTCTGCCTGTTACAAACAGGCAATACCCCCTTTTTACCCATTTTGAATGGATTCAGGGAAGAATTAATAAGCTAAAAAATGCTGCATTTGAAGCTCTGGTCACACTGGACCTTCAGGGAAATTTCAGCTTAAGAAGTGGAGATTCGTTCTTGCTTGACACATAAACCCTAAGCACTCCCCAAAATGGGGTCATTGTATGGCCTTTATTAAGTAATTAAATTATTGATATTAATGAGCTAAAAAATACTGCATTTGAAGCTCTGGTCACACTGAATATCAAGGGGAATGCCCGAGAGATGATCTCTAAGCAGCACCAAAAATGGGTTGGACTAAATACTCTGTACTTTCTCGTAAAATGAATTATAACTAATGTTCTGGCAAATACTTGTATTTTGCACAATTTTCAAATATTGATTAGTGTTAAGTAATTGCGGTTATGTCATGCCTGTGATGCCGATTAAGTCGCAGAAAGTCAAAGTTATTTCTATTTAATAGATGCTCAAATATTCCGCCTCGGGCGCGAACTTACGCGTAATACATTTATCATAGCTAAATAATGACAGAGTAGTGATATTTTGATTTAGCTCTATCTATGCCTTTTGTATTTGTTTGTGTTGATTTGTTTCTTTTTGATTTAGTATTTGGCAAGCGTATGAGGAATGACAATAAATGCTTTTTTATGCATTTGGCAGAAAAAAAATGTGTTAATCTATAATTAAAATGTATTCTATTGAATTTTTTCATTAATTTGTTTACCTAGAATATTGTTGTATTCTTTTTGTTTTATTTTGATTTTTTGTTGCGCCGATTAGGATATTGTTCTCTAGAACTTTTAGCACCGGGTCGACTATAAAAGCCATTCGCGTTACGGTCAACGGGCCAGTTAAGTGCAGTCGAGTGTAAACCAAACATGAAGTGCTATACCCTGTTTTTAGTTATATGCCTGGCGGTTAGTTTGGCCCGGGCCAGGCCTGCCGAGGATGATTCAAAGGCGGAGACTCTGCGCCTGGAAACCGATAACAATGGCATCGACAAATACTCCTTTAAGTGAGTTTGAGCTGTCCACATGCGAAGCATCCATTTAATATCCTCCCTCTCATGCCCAGCTACGAGACCAGCAATGGCATCGCACGCAGCGAGGAGGGCGTGCTGAAGCCGGGCACTGGAGATGCCGAAGGCGTGCTCGCCGTGTCCGGCTCCAGCAGCTGGACGGCGCCCGATGGCAAGAAATACGAGATTACCTTCACCGCAGACGAGACGGGCTACCATCCCATCGTCAAGCTAGCTGCCTAAACAGAGCCACACACGGGCCGGCTAACAACAAATGGAACATTCCCAAAAACCAAACAAAAAAAAAAAATTCCAAATATACAAAAATTATATAAAAATAAATAAATAATATATATAGAAACTATAAACTAACTAAATATGCTCAATAAATAATAAAACAAAAATAAAATCAAAATGAAATGCCATTTGCAGCATGAATTTCTGGAGGATCCCAGCTCTCAGCTTCTAGCTATATACTATATATGTGTGATATTTGTAGTACTTTTATATAGAAGTACTTAAATATATGTAGATAGCAGTACAAGTAATGTAGTCAATGATCTAGATGTCATTCTTGCCTCAAATTCGACACTCATGTTACGATCTTACGATCTTGGGTTTCATCAGTCGAAGATCCAAGTCGTAGACCTTTTTTAGATCTTTGGTACGACCTATTCTTGAGTATGCCTCATGTGTCCAGTATTCAAAATATTGCATTCATCAAGACAGAATTGACTTTGTATGGAAAAAATTCTTGTTGTTTGTCCTACTTGTATTTAGCTGGGATTCTGGTGTGCGCTTGTCGTCATACTTTCGTAGACAATTGCTGAATTATCTTGCTTCTTTAATTAAACATAGAATTCCGTTTTATTTATAAGTTATAAATATAAGTGTCGGTGATGAGTTCCATACGCTGACTAAGCAAAGATGCTTAAAATGAGTATTTTCTTGTTAAATAAAATAAAATATATTTGCATTCTCTGGTCTGGTTACAGATTATCAACCGGAATTTAGAGTTAAGTACTGGAGCTAATGTCAATCTAGAGAGATGAGAAATTGTTAAATTATCTTAGCTGGGATCTGACTCGCAAAATAATTAACATAGCTAAGCGAGAAGAATCCAGGGTGACCATTCTCCGTTTAAAAAAAAAACTGATAATAAAATATGGAGTCTATATCTCCATTAACACAATTTTCTGGTGAAGCATCCAAGAAGTCAAATACTCTAGATCTGGATATACTATTCCAGCAACTCGATTTACAATTTGGGGTAACTGGCTCTTAGGAACTCCGAGACATGATAGAAAATAACTGCAATTCGATTTCTAGAATTCTTGAAGAGTTCCCCTCATCACCATATAAATGATCAAAATATGCTCAATGGAGGAATGAAATAAAAATGAAATGAAAAGAAAGTAATTTATTTATGAAACCCGGATCCCTGTAACAAAGGCCAACTCTTGGTTTCTGGCAAACCATATAATATGTTTGCTTTTTTGTGTATAAAACTAACAGTTATGCAAATTCCTGGTTATCGATTCTTAATTATCGATTTGCATAACGCGTTCTAGGCCCAAAACGAAATGAAAAGTATGACGCAAGAGCGGCTACTGTGGCTGCTGCTTTGGCTATAAAAACTGGAACCCGATTTCTATATATATATTTTTTTTTTTGTATTTTTTCCGTGGTCTTCTTCTGCCTTGTATACGCATCGTGGTTGCGGCTGGCGTGCGACCTTCGCGTTCATTTTGCATCATCAACGAAATTTGCAAATTTTTGTGTGAATAAACTTGTTTTTTCTTTTTATTGTTGGCTTTTCGCTTTTTTCTTGTTGTTCGAATTTTGTTTTCTTTGTAATTAATAGGTACATAATGAAAGCTGTGCATCTACAATTTTGAACAATTAGCGAGCAGCGAATTTGTTTGACAGCCGCACGAAACAAAATCGAAGCCAACAACAATTTTGAAGGTTAATTTCCTAAAAAATTATAAACTTGCACAAACGTAAATAATTTATGATTTGTATACCCTGAAACTATTGAGAATGCATTGAGAGGTATAATGGTTGTGCGTGTATATATATGTAACAGGCATCTCCGATATAATGAAGATTCATATTCGTGATTTGTCCGTATGTAGATACACTCGGCGATCTGGAGAACCACAGAACTGAAGTACTTGAATTCAAAATGCAGCAGTGCTTATTTCCCGTGCAAATCAGTTTTGTATCAAAGCATCGATAGCTAGCCTTGTTTCTCTGAAATCGATAAGAATCGATATCAAAATCTTGTTTGCAAACGTAGAAGCTTAGAGACTCTCGTATACTTTATACATTGGTAAATATTGATCGATATCGATATATATCGAAAGATCGATATATACATATATAAATCTCAGTGAATGACAATCGCATTTCACATAGGGTATCTCCTGGTCGCATACTCTCGTCTAGAGCATTCTTTTTATGCTGATGCTAATTTTTAAAGCAACAACTCTTAAGTCAATCAAGCGTAGAAAATGTATACCAGCGCTGCCCAACACTGGTCGGCTAATTCTGATTTGCATGCCCGCAACCTTTGCTGACGTAAATATTTTAAAGCCGTCCAAAAAAATATATATTTATATTTATACATTTTTGAATATAAATTGCTGCCTAAACGAACAATGATCTGCATTTGCGTACGCGTCTGGTATTTTGCTATTGGGTTCTGTCAATGAGCTGAGCTTATCAAACAGATGCATAAATTAGTTTTCGAACTGAGTAAAGATTTATTTCGAGATCAACAACCCAACTGGCCTGCTTGTAGTCTAGGTTTTTTACAATATGCGTCTACAACCTATTTCCGCTTACTTCTTTATATTATTTATGAGCCCAATATTAATAAAGAATTTTCTTTAATATTTAAGCGTTTACTTTATTACTTAATGATCAACTCTTGCTGAGCTCGACTATTGCAAGTTAGAAGTACTTAAAGCAGCAATAAAATGTTAATCAAGTCATGCATAAAAAACCAGATTTCCATCTGTAACATTGTATAAAGGTTTGGGTCAGCGTCGCGTTGGCTTCAGTCGCATCAAGCGCTTCAGTGCGAATCAAGACGTTTGCTTTGATCGCTCTATTCCGACTAGATCGAAGTGCTCGACCTATGGTACCCTATAACTATATGTCTTTTACTTTAATTGACAGAAAACAGGGGTTGCAAAGTGATGGAGCAATATGAGTAAATCGATAAGTAACTGAGTGTGTGCATATATAATGTTTAAGAGTATATAGCTTTGTGCTTAATAGACTCTGAATAACCTGATCTGGCATATTAATGGATGTTACATGCTGCGAGTATATATTCTCGATCAGTTCGATGCGCTGAGTCGATCTGGCCATGCCTGACCTTTGATGTCGGTCTTGGAAATTTGAAAAGCTAGAGACTTTAAATTTTACACATATATTCCTCTTTAACATACGCAAAACGAGCTGCTACTCATTAATTTTTATAGATATATTTCATATTTACTTACTTATATCTCCAATCATTTCATTAATATCGATAAATATCGATTTCGAGTCGCGATATTTTAAACATTACACGAAGAATATAAAAGCCTTAGACATCACGCTTGCTATGTAGCCTTTCGTATGCTATAAACACATTATTTTTCGATACCTTCCGCTATTTTAAAAATATCGATAAATATCGATTTCGAGACACGACTTTTTAGGCATTATTTGAAGAATATATGAGCCTTAGAGAACAATTTTGGCAGGTAGCCTCTTGAATATCAGAAACACATTTAACATATTTCACTTGTTGAATAATTCTGATCTTTCCCGCTAGATTTTAGCTTTGGTACATACAAAGTGTAGGGTGCAAGTTTCATGAAGATCGGACAAGAATGCATTTTTTGTAGGACTAAGACGAAGTCCAACAGATCAGCACATATTCCCTTAAATATTTGCAAGGCGTACAGGGTATAGCAGGGCGTGTCAGTTGTGCCTTTAAGTATGTCTACTTTGACATTAAACAGACCAAAATGTGTACAGCTTTTGGGCTCCGCTTTAAAAGCACATGCAAAACAAAAGACTCAGGCAACAAACTTGACAAATGCAACAATAAATGATTGCATACTTATAGGCGGACCCATAAAACGTTGCTTGTTTTCTATTATTTGGACAAGTTGTTAAAGCAGTTTGCATTGCAATTTAAATGCAAATGAAGCTGAGAATATTCCCTGAACTTGACAGCAATATTTCCATGTACAAGAATATAGCTGACAGCACAACAGATGCTATTTCTGCTGCATCCGGCAAGACACAGACACGGGCAGATGCGCAACGCATCTCAGGACAGCCGATGGCTGATTAATGATGCACAGTGTGCTGCACAGTGCAGTGTAAACAACTCTTCCTCATTGCATTCGGTTTACCCTCCGGCTAGCAACGGTAGTTGACATGAATAGAAGCTGATAAATCATATCGAGAAGCCATTTGTATTTCTCGGGCTCTACTCGCTAATTAACTGCGAGCAGCCAATAAGCGCGCTGTCAATCCACAATTTTTATTCTCCATAGCTGTCAATAAATATATTATATCTTCATATTTATTATTTAGCTTGATTCATGTTTATCCATATTGCCACGAGCTATGCAAATGAGCAGCATAATGACACGTTTTGAAAAATTAAAATAATTATAAATACTAGAGTAGATGCGGTTTGCGTGCGTAGACGACTTGCTTATACCCTGGAAAAAATTACGATTATTTATTTAAATGATAAAAAATATCAGAAAAGTTCTGATAAGGCAAAGCTATTACAAATAATGGGAAATATAAAAAAGAATTAAAAAAGAGCCCTTAACTGTAAAAGCTGCAGAGACGCTTAACAGCACTAGAGTTGCTCAACACTATTTTTGGAGAGTGGAATTTTGAAGAGTTGCTCAACACTATTTTTGGAGAGTAGACTTTCGAACGGCAACAGAAAAACCTACTCATGCTCCCATCATATGCCTTTCATCTACCCTATAAAGTTCGGTTGGATAAAAGCAAGGATTATGAGCTCAAAATGTTTGTGTTTTGGGGCTGAATTCCCCTTTAAATCATTTTTGGCCTTTGGTGAAAAAATCAAAGTTTGATTCATAATAAAATGTAAATTATTTTTTCGATATTCAGCATTTATGCAGCTTTAACAAAAATATAGTATATACAAAAAAGTAATAAATATAGATAATTTTTTTTTTTAATTTAGGATTTAATGGGCTCAACCATTCCGTTGCAAATAAACAAAATATGCTGCGCTATGCTATATATTTTTTATGGTAATGAAAATCTATAAAAATATAACAGAAATTCAATTTTCATTTTATAATTATTTATTTATATTATATATGTGCATAATTTTTGTATATATTATATACATGTTTCTATTTTGTTTAATTAGTTATTATTATTACATGCAAATATGTGACAAATAGTCGCGCGACGCCGGGTAATTTCCATAAGTAAACAAGCTAGTGAACGGATCTAGCTTGTTGTTTAGAGGGTATTTAGTTGATTTTGAGCAAACAGCGCTCAGTTAGCTGATATGCTAGCACAGACACACACGCACACACACACACACACACGCAGTGTCGCTGGCTCAGCCACCTATGTGTGTGTGTGCGTGCGTGTGTGTGGCGGCTGACCAATGTTTTATAATGTTTACCAAATATTATTAAGTTTGTCAATTGGTCGCCGAACATCGTGGGGTGTGTTTCAGCCGTTTCGCCTGCTCAGCCGAGAGACGCGTCGCTAACGGTATCGCACCGCATAAATTAATTTAATTAATAATAAAAAAATACATATATATATATATATATAAAGAATATAACAAACGAGCTAACGGTGTGCGCCAATTTAAATACAAATAAAAACAAAAATTGATACGCGAAATTTGCAAATTTTTTCGAAGACAAGCTGCAAAATGAGGCAAACATTTTTGGCTGTCAATTGTGTTGTAAGTGCGCGCGTGTGTGTGTGTGTGTTTATTGTTTAAATAATTTATATAATTTATCGAATTTATTCCATACAAGCTGCTGACTGTGCTGTGCTTTAGCTACGTCCTGCCCGCCACGGTGCGTCCCTACAAATTCGGCTTTACCATCGAGGAGCAGCAGCATCGCCGCGAGCAAAGAGGTGAGCGGAAGCCGAAGGAGGGATTCTTTCGAAATTGATTGACACCGATATGATCAATCAAGTACATGTGTGTCTGTGTGTGTATTTATGCAAATGGAGCTGCGTCATGCTGGCAAGCATTAGCGACAAAAAAGGCAACAGCTTTTGACTTTTTGCAACTGCAACTGCCGCAACGATTGTGCAATGCCGCACAATACACGTTTGCGGGTCTAATAGCTGCAGCTGCTGACACCCGGGGTCAATATCAATTGAAATGCCTAAGATTCTACCAGTCTGTACCCCTCTCCCTCTCTAATTGCGAGCGGCATCCTCAGTCTGCGCGCACCTGAAACAATAGTTGATAATAAAATTGTCAGAAAACTTATGAAGCTCTTCAATTAGCATAACATGTAGCCAGAGCTTCACTTGGCTTATTTATTGATTTGTCTCAAATGTCGCCAAATTTCAATATTCATAAGCATATATGTATCTCGAAATGCCAGAGTTGAGCGTGTATTAGAAAAGCACACACAAACACACACAACATTATGTGGGCAACTTGTTGTGCACACACACAATGCGCAAACATTTATAGAGTCATTTGCATATGCAGATTGCATAGATAAGAAATGTTTCAAATAACTAGATTATTATGTGCGAACTTTCGTTTTATAGCTTGAACAAATTTTAAGAGCATTTCCTAGAAAAACAAAAATATATATTCTTAACTCTGCTCAGGGTTGAATTTCTTAACTAAAAATTCTGGAAAAAACAAAATAAATTTCTTACATTATTTAGGTTTTTATCCAATATTTATAGTATATTAGGAATTTTCATTTCTACAGATTATGTCCATTTCTATTTTCATGTTTTTCAACAAAGAGAATCCTTTAAGGAAGTTTTTGTAATAATTATTCAGACTAAATGCTTACATGTGCTTACATACAAAAGGAAGCGCTTGTCCTGAACCCAAAGTCAGCCGTTCGGTGCTTATTGTCCGATCTATATGCAATTTATATAATAATAGAAATATCAAAGCATACTAAGGCTTACAAAAAGAAGTTTCTTATAATTTTGTTGGAAACGGGAGGAGGTATCAAAAAAGCGAAAGTATATTCTGGATCTAAATGATTATTTATATACAACATTTGTTGTTATTAGCTCCGAACTATGCTGCAAAAAACAGATTATCGATAACGATATTTATCGATTTCATATAAACAAAGCAATTTATCGAGGATTTAAAACAAAATTTATTTACGCTGCTAATGGAAGAAGCCAAGTTCTCAGATCCCTAGATTTACTTAGTCCTTGTATTTTATAGTTTCCGAGATCGAAGAGTTTCTAAAGCACAGGCTCTGCTCAATCGACTTGGCTGTTGATGCTGATCAAGAATATCAGCACTCAAAAAAGTCGCAGATGTCATCTTCAGCCTGTTACATACATTAGCACAGAAACATTATGCCCTTCTTAACCATTAAGTGCAGGGTATAGCAAATCATGATGTTTTCGAGCGCATATAAATAGATGCGCTTCAAACATTGCTATTAAGCATCGCATGTATATATAGCAATATGCAAAATTTGTGTGCAATTTTTTCTTTTGAAATGACATTTGATATTTAAAGATATTTCTTTCCCTTTCTCTACAATTGCGTGGCGCATTTAGACGGCTATAAAGAAACGACAACAGATTATGTCCATTAAAATGACACAAACAATCGTGAAACGGGCATTGAAACGTTTCAAAATGCGCGATCGCAGCGATAAGTGCGAATCGAAACTTGTTTAAGGCCGTAGAACCAAAAAAACAAACTAAACACTGAGACTGGTGCCACACAGGTGGGTGGCTGTAGCAGCAGGACGTAGTCGTTGGATATGATGTGCTAAGCATAATTCTTGCATGCGTTAAGTCTCGGCTGGGGCATAAACAAAAGGCCTTCGCCTCATAAAACGACGATCATAATTATCGCGACAGTTTATTCGATCTTTATCTTTATAGCCGGGTCCCAAGCGCCTGTTTGGCTGGTTTGTCGCTCCAACAAATTGTGGCAAAGAATGAACCAGTTATGTTTCGGCATTAATAATGAAAGTGATCTATACATGCATGGAATATATCTATTCTCTATACCCTGTAACATGAAAACAAGCAAATGATGTATGTACAGACTAGATATGCCTCAACAGCCCGAACTTCCAACTCTCTGAGAGAAAGACATCAATTTATACGCAAACTAAATTATCTGTTTTTAATAGATATCAGATTTTTTTGGTGCTCGATAAATATCGTTTTTAAGCCTAAAGCTTGAGCATGTTTTTTCGAAGCATAAGATCTGGAAACATAAAAATATACACATCGATTTACGCACACTAGAGAAAATTTCATTTTGAATATCAAAAATTTACTACGTTATAGCAAAATCGATAAATATCGATGTTCTGCTTCAGGTTTTTGATCAGAGTTCAAACTATTACAAACTCTTTCGATATCGATATTCAACTCCGTTTTTTTTGAGCTCGGATTCTTCGTTTCTATAGACACAACATTTGACAAAGTCTATGCAATATGATAAGATATATAAGATAGCGCTACATTATGCGATAATCGATAAATATCGATTCGCAGCCTCAGTCTGCATGAGAGAGAGAGAGAGATAGAGAGAGGGAGAGAGGGAGAGAGAGAGAAACTAACGTTTTCCTATCGCACGCTCAAATTGATTTAAAATGATCGATAGCTAGCTCCCTTTCGATAAATATCGATTTCACAATCTGTGGATATCGGGCATTTGAGAAAGTGAATGCTCGTCTCATCTTTTCACCTCGCACCAAAATGCCTCTACAGGGTATCTGCTAGTCGCGCGCTTGCCATTTTCGACTGTGAATAAGTAATCAGCTTGTGCTCTGCCCTTTTATTAGATGAGAACGGAATTGTAATGGGCGAATTCGGGTTTATAACCGCCGATGGAATTTACCACGTGACGGTCTATGCGACCGATGAGGAAGGCAAATTTCGGATAATCTCGATGAAAAACTATCCGTATACGGGTCCCGTAGCGCCCAGTAAGTGCAGCACGTACAAGAATCATAATCAGGAATAATGTGAACTAATCCAAACTCGATCAATGCAGAGAGCCCGCCGCCCACAACAACCACCGCGGCGTCTGTGGCCAGGCATCACTTCAATACCGCCGCCTGCTCCGGCTGCTTTCTGAACAAATCCCCACCGGAAGCGACGCAGCCGGAAGCGATCCGTCCCAGCACCAAAACGGAGATACGCCCGCTCTCGCAGCCGCTGTCCCCGTCGGCGGCAGTCGGAGCTGTGCCAGGTGAGTTCAAAGGTCACACAGTTACACCCAGCACACAGACACACACACACAGCCAGGTCGCGATCCTGAAGGAATCGCTTGAACTGGCCGCTGCGGCGGCTGCGCAGGACTTGCAGAGCTTTGTCTTTAGCCCCCAGACCGAGCCTCAAGCAGCAGCTGCTGCTACTTTTTTCGCAGCTGCAGTTCCTGCTCCTGCGGCGGAGCCTGTTGTTGTGCGCAATGCGAAGACCGTGGCGCTGGCTCACGAAATAGCCAAGGTGCAGGCGCTGCGACCAGCACGAATCCTGAGTGCGAGTGCCACAACGACGCAGTCAAAGGAAGTGCCAGTGGATGCACCTGCTCTTAGCTCTGCAGTTGCTTTTGTGGCCAAGCTGGCGAGGATTCCGCCGGAAGCAGCGGGCGCGAAGGATTTCCAGAGCTTCGCTGTGAACTCCCATGAGCCTCATATAGCAATAGCTGCTGCTGCTCCTGCTCCTGCTCCTGCCCAGGATGCTCCTCCCACTCCGACTGCTGCGGTGGAGCCTGTGGAGCTCGAAGTTGTGCGCAATGCAAAGACCGTAGCGTTGATTCGCGAATTATCCAAGGTACAGACACTGCGGCCGCCGAGTAGCCTAAAGGCCAATGGCCCAGCGACGGAGCCAAAGGATCTGCTAGCGGATGCACCTGATCCCAGCTCTGCTGCTGTTCAAGTGGCAAATCTGGTAAGGATGCCGCCAAAGGATTTGCAGAGCTTTGTTCCTGGCCACCATGATGCTCAAGCAGCAGCGGCTATTGGTACTCCTGCTCCTGTTCCTGCCCCGGCTGCTGCTCCTACTCCGGCTGCTGCGGTGGAGCCTGTGGAGCTCGAAGTTGTGCGCAATGCAAAGACCGTAGCGTTGATTCGCGAATTATCCAAGGTACAGACACTGCGGCCGCCGAGTAGCCTGGAGGCCAATGGCCCAGCGACGGAGCCAAAGGATCTGCTAGCGGATGCACCTGATCCCAGCTCTGCTGCTGTTCAAGTGGCAAATCTGGTAAGGACTCCGCTGGAAGCGAATGTCCTGCATGCGAGTGGCTCAGCAACGCAGCCACAGAAACTGCCAGCCCCCGGCTCAGCCCCTGCATTTGTCGAAAAGCTGGCGGGGATTCCGCCCGCAACAGCAGGCGCCAAGGATCTCAACCGTTTTGCTTTTGGTACGCTGCGACTCATTAGTTTGGCGGCGGCGCAGCGGCTAAATGGTCGGGTGCTGAGCGCCACGCAACATGAGGCGCAGCCTGTGAAGCAAGCAGTTGCCGGAATTGTGCAAGAGCAGAAGCAGGACAATGCGCTCAGTCCCACGCCTCCGCTCGCCAATCGTATTCCGGAGGCACAGCCTGTTCTACTCACCACACAAACAACACCAGCACACACACACACTGCCGCACACACACACACTGCCACACACACACAGCTGCCAGCAAGTAAACAAATTAATCACGTATTTCAATTGATTTACATTTAAAAATCATTAAAATTTAAAAACTTGCAGACGTTCAGTCGGGTCAGCAACCATTGAGTGCAGCTGGCAATGCTGCCGCAGGAGCGCTGCCAGCCTTGACAGGCACCCAGCAGCAAGCAGCAGCAGGCGTCAAGCCACGTAAGCGCAGTCAACACCAATTCGTTGAGTTTTTTTTTAATTTAACAAGCATTCGCAGCCTTAGCAGACGGCAAGAGTGCGCAACAACCATCAGGTGGCAGCAGCTCAGATAGTTTCAAGCCAAGTAAGCTCAGACACATACCATTCGTTAAGTTGAATGAATATTAATAAAACATGCATAGACACAGTTGCAGCGCTGCCTGCCGTGACAGCAACTAAGCAGCAAAGTCAACCGTCAAGCGGCAGCACAGCAAGTAACAATTCACCACGTAAGCCCGGACAGCAACCAGATTCGTTAAGTGTAACAGCAAAAGCTTTGCTTACAGAACCCACCTCCACAAAGACAGCAACCATTGTAGGAGCGGTTGGTGAACCCGGACTCACAGGCGATTTGTACAAATTTAAATATATATTGGACTATAATGGCCATGAGGAGACGGGCAGCCGCAACGGCGATAAAGTAGGCAACTACTTTGCCATTGGCGAGGATGCTGTGGAGCGTGTCGTCGAGTATATTGCCAATGAGTTTGGCTTCCAGCCGCACATTAGTTGGCGCAAACTGGAGGGCAAGGAGGCGGCGCTGCCCGATGAGAACTCGCTGAAGCACTACGAGTTCAAGTGGTTCAACAAGGCAGCCCAATGATTAATTAATTATTAATCATTAATCCAATAAGTACATTTATAAATTCAGTAAAAAAAAATACCCTGTAATAATGGAGAATGAATTGAAAAGAGTTGTTGTTGTTGTTGTTCTTGAATTGGGTTTTGTTTTTTTTTTTTTTTTTTTTACTTTTTTATTTTTGTTAAAGGTATTCCACTTAAATCAACTTAACGCTTAGTGGGATCAGGAAGAGGGGGCGGGGGTAGGGGTACACAATGTGGGGCGGTTGTCTATTATACTTAGTTATATAATATTTTGTAAAGTTACATTCAGAATTTAAAAATTGTATACATTTAGATGTAGCATAAAGTTGCATATCTCAATTACACACACACACATTTAAAATTACATAAGTACATTTATAAGTATCGATACTTTTGCTATCCACTGCAACTGGATAGAAGGGGCTGTATACATATACATATACATATATATATATATTTATTTATTTTTCAATATTGTTGAATTTGCGCTTAAAAAGTTCTACATTTTTTTATACACACAGAGCTTTCTTGTTGTTTTTATGTTTAAGATTAAGATTTACTGTTGTTTTCTTTTTTTAGATAATGCATCATGTTAGATGTTTAGGTTATTTAAAAATTATTCAAGAGTTTTAACTGTACAATCAACTATCACAGTCAACCATATCGAACTGATAAATAACGCCCAAGTTTTATATAATTAGCAAGAAAAATATTATAGAAATCAAAGGTTAAGGCAAATGAAAACATGTGAAAAGAATCTAGACGACAGTGCTCGACTAGCTGATACCCTGTACCAGGCATAGGTGCCTGCCTTGCTACATCTGGCATATACCCCACTCACCAGCAGGTACAGGGTATACGAGTATGAACTGCCATGCATTCTTAGATCTGTATGCTATATATATATATGTTTTGGTATTTACAATTCGCCAACAAACACTAAACGAGAGTTTCTTTTTCTATGAAGCGAAGAACTATCGATAATTGATTATCGATTCAGCTTAGAATTATGAACTACGCTTTTATTTGTTGTTTGAAGAAATATATAGATTGAATGATCCTTTAAGACCTGCTTATCCCTTACTATTAACAAGTGGCAAATGCTAACAACAATTCAAAATATCCCATATATACTTAGTTTATATATATATATATATATGTGTGTGTTCCGGAAATCGTATTAGCTTACAATCGAGTATTTATACTAGAACAATTCAGAAGTTTTGCAAATTGTTATCGTACTGGAAAACGCGTTTTGTTTGATTCTCATATGTATATGTTTAGGTTTAGGTTAAGAGTTCAACTTACGGCAACAACGTTAACTAAAATAGTCTAAAGAGACACGCACGCACACACATTCACACACACACATTCACACACACGGACACGCCTACGTCACACAAAATGCATGCATTTATCGCATCTGAATGATATTTACATATACATACGTAGACTTATGTCTTCTGTTACTGATCAAGAATATATATATATATATACATATACTTTCGGAAATAACTTTTCCAATTTACCTCTGGGCATTAAGATCTTAATTTAAGCCCAGATAATAGAATAGTAATCGAAAGTGAAATTTTTACTGTATTTTCCCTAGCCAATTCCACCGGCAAGCGTGGAAAATTGACGGAAAAGAGTTGTATGTTACTTTTTAGTATACCAAATGATTTTCCTAAAATTTATTTTCCAACATTTTTGTAAAGTTTCGTTTGGGACGTGTTTCACACTTTTCGGTAAATCCACCCTGCTTCGTGAAAATGGGTATCAAAGTATTTTTTGGACAACGTTTTTGGTTCAAACACATATTCAAGGATCCAGGGAAATAAATGCCGAATATTAATAGAAAATAATAGTTTAATTTTCCTGAAAATCGTTCCTCAAATCTAAGGCTAATGATTTGTGCCGGGTCAAGGTCAGCTAATATACGCTTATATAATCTGATTATTGGCTTGAAATCATTTTCAGACCTTTATAAATTGAGCTACAAATCGATTCGTTCACAGAGTTTCGTAACTAACGTGCGGAACTAAAACGCCTCGTAAAACTTTTCCTATTAACAAATAAATAAAGCGCAAATGAAGAAAGCTAATTTGTTCATATTCAACCCGAAGGCTGAGCCAAAAAGATGAGGTGGATATTATTGGTGTTGAGTGTCTCGATGAGCCTCGCTCTTGTGTGCGGAAATATCGACTGGTGCACGCCGAATGGCAAGGCTTGCATTTATGACAACAAGTGCTGCAGTCGAAAGTGCAATGTCTACGGCACGTGCAGCGACAGATGGAGTGTTCCCTATAACCAAACAACAACATTGCCTCCATAGTGGACATGGGCTACTTAATAAGCAGAATGCCAAATAAAAGCATCACTGATTAATTATAAAGAATGTATATGCTTATATAAATATACGAACTGGCATTTCTCGTTCTTATTTGGTTTAAGTTTTGTGCTTACATTTTTTGGATTTTCATTTTCCACCCATTTTCCACCTGTGGAAAATCGAAATCCAGCAATTCCAGATCTCAATTTCCATTTTTTATAGAAGTTTGAAAATGTGTTGGGAGTTTAACTTTTGAAAAGCTTCATAAGAAGTCTTGGAAATAAGTTTGAGCCGGAAACTTCTAGCCCATTTCCACCTAGACGAGTGGATTTGGCGAAAAGTGTGAAAAAAAAACGCTCAATTGTATTTGAACAAAGAACTTTTGAAGCTGGGCTTAAGATTAATCGATTGACAAATAAAAAAGTTTCATACAACTATTTTCCACTATTTTTCCACACTTGCGGGTGGAAACACATAAGGTATTTACAGTTAAAATCGGTTGATCAGCTCGTCAGTCAGGTTACATATTCGTGTTTATGTATATATATATATATTCTGGATCAGCAGTTTTTGACTGGTTCTTGAGTTAATTGCTATGAGTAAAATCCGCTGTATTCTGGTTTTGGTTTTTGGTTTTTCTATTTTTCTGTTTTGGTTTTCTTTACTTTTTTTTTCTGGTGGTTTTGGTTGCACTTACAATAAAAACGTCGCCTGCTCGCCCTTCATGTCCAGATAGTCGTACAGTGTCCGCTCGCTGCCGGCGCCATAGCTGCCGGGATATGCGTGACTGCCGATGCCAACGCTGCCGTCCGGCGCTGCGTCGGCGGGCGTGGCCGCTGGCGGTGGCGGACCGGCGCCCAGACTCAGCCCGAACTTCTCCAGGTGGCATCATTTGAGCAGCGTCGGCAGGCTGCTGTTCATCAGCCGATTGCCCACGACCAGCGAATTGAGCGTCGAATTGCTGCCGCCCACGCCCACGCCGACGCCGACGCCCACACCGACGCCCATGCTCATGCCGTGTACGCCGAGTCCGAAGCCAGCGCTGGCATGTGCCGGAGCCGCATTCAGATTCTGGCCCAGACTGGCCTCCAAATGCGACTGTCCGGCATTCGGATTGCTGCCGCCGCTATTGTTGCTGTTGTTGTTGTTGGCGGTGGTGTTGTTGTTGTTGTTGCTGCTGCTGCTGCTGGTGGTGCTGGTGGTGCCGCCGCCGCCGCCGCCGCCGCTGGCAAAGCCGCTCATAATGCCAGCGCCGCCGCTAACCGCGCTGCTGGCACCGGCAGCGCCAGCGGCGGCATTGCTCTCATATTATGATGGTCATGCGTAGTGCGGATAGGAGCTGAGATGCGGCGCCACATGCGAGGGCGTCACATGGCTCATCGAGTGCGGCTGATACAGATTTGTAGCCGGACTGCCCCAGTTGCCCCACGAGGCGGCCGTCGGAAATATGGAGGCTGCAAGGCAAGAGACGAGATCAGATCAGAAATGGTATCCAAAAGGGCAAACTTTCGCCAAACCCACCTGAGGACGAGGTCATGCCGTGATGCGGACTCATAAACGAGCTGAGCTTGGCGCTGTGATGATATGGCGTCATGAACAGATCGCTCTGATACTTGTAGGTGGGATCGCTGGCCGCCGGCTGTGTGGCCGCCGCCAGGCCCTGGAAATCGAATTTGTACGCATAGCGCTTGCCATGCACCTTGGTCATGATGTTCTTGTCATAATAATATCTGCAAATATGGAGAGTGCAGCAAAATACAGTGATAACTGGCAAGGGCGAAGCATTTGTAGATCACAGAAAATTAAATTTAATTAAAATAATTCAATTAACGTATGAGATACCAAAATAATCTAGTCCGCATTATAAGTTCTTATAAGTTCCAAGATATTCTCAAAAAAATGATTGCAATATCAATTTTTATCCATTTTTATCGAGTATTATCCATTATTATCCATTTTTATCCACTATTTTCGATTTTTTCTACCGATTATTATCGATTGTTATCGTTTTTGTATCGATTTTTTTATATATGATCGATTATAATGCATGTACTTTCGATTCTTTTCCCTTATATTGACTTATTTTCGGCGGTTATCGATTTAATCGATTGTAATCAATTTCGTATATCTTGTTATCGATTTCTCGATTGTTATCAAATTCATAAGAGCGACTTGCCTCGCTGATAATTTATAGCAAATCTTTCAAAACTCCCTTCCCAAAACTATCTCTTATTAAACTTCTACAATACTAGGTCTCCCCTTAGGACCGTTCGTTATAAGATTTTTCCCTGTAACAAATTACAGAGCGGCATTTTTCGGTAGTGTAATGTTTGCTGCTGCCAATGTGGGAAAACCAAACAAAAGACTGAGCGTATAAATAATTACAAAATAATGCGCGCTTTATGCGTTTTAAGTTAATTTGCTGACATTAGGCGATTTTAGTGCTAGACTTTGGCCAAACAGCCCAACCACCCCAAGACTTGCCCTCAATCTCTGGCCCCGCAATTAAATGGCAAACGCCTTGCGCATAAACTCAAACAGAAATATTTCGTGGCTCGAGGCCAAGCCAAATTGCTTGGGCAGACAGCCAAGCAGCGGGCGGGCGGGCGTTGGCCAAGCTTGGGGGTAGACAAGACAGACGATTGCCCGACAAAAATTTCTGTTTGCTTTGCATGGGCAGTCCGAAAAGTGATTAAGTCAGCTGCGTACTGGGTAAACTAAACAAATAACTGAGCGATCTGTGATAAACTACACTTATAGCACAGGAGGATGCGGGTTCAATGTCAAGTCTAAGGTCACAGTTACGATTTTATCACAAAAGTAAAGTTGATATTTAATGACTATTTATACATGCTTACCAAGTTTACAGAACATTTTTTAATACATCGTGCTTTTACATATAGCTCTTCTATGCAATTCTCATGAATTCCACTAAAAAACATTAATTCTGCTCACACTCTCACTCCCACCTATTTACTATACCCTATCTCTATCTCTCTCTCTCTCTCTCTCTCTCTTTCTCTCTCGCTCTCTCTCTCTCTCTCTCTCTCTCTCTCTCTCTCTCTCTGGCTCTCTCTCTCTCTCTCTCACTCTCTTACTCATATTGATTCTCTTTTTTAATTGAACTTACTAACTTTGTTTTTCTTTTGTCTTTCAGCGAATGTTTGGGTAAGTTCACTTTAACATTTATATTTATAAATTATAATACATCTAAATTAAACCAATGCAAATTTGGACACGGCTTGGTCCTAGCATTAGTAATAAGCATAAAGAGATGTATTTAGATTTCAATATCGTTTTTTCATACCTTTTCTAAATGGTCACGCTCTAATATATACATATGCTCGGCTAATTACATATATGCTAACAGGTACATCCCATGTCCAAATAGGATTTCAAAGGTTCAAATTTTACATGAATTTCGACTAGAAATTACGTTTTCAGATTTAAATGCAAGATTAATCTAGATACCAAGGCGTGAAGAAAAAACTAAACCTCGTGAAATTCGGTTCAGTTTTGACCGAGTTATGGGAGTGGGAAATTTTTACCCATGTCTATTTGGGATACGAACGGGTGTACCACGGCCTTGCCTATACTGTTTTCACATTCTACAAATCGGATGCATATATATTGTATATGTAGGCTAACTTTAAGAAATTGTCTAGAGTCCGCGTTTCATTAAATGCCGTCCCTTTGCCTTTAATTCTTTAATTATTCAAATTAGCATAATTATGTGAAGATCTGCGCAGAAATATCCATTCAAGTTTTATGATTTTATTCGTTTATTGCCATTTTATTGCACATATCGAATTTGGTTTATGCGACGCTTTTGTCTCGCAACAGACAAAAACAAAAAAAACAAAAACATGTAAATTAATTTAAATTTCAATGCGCACTGTAATTTTTTTTGTTTTCAATATATTTTCACTTTTTTCTCTGCGCTATTGGCCATAAATTATGCCAATTAATGGCATAAATTAAAGGCAGCAGCAAAAGACAAAAGCGTATTCTTTCGCTCCTTTGATGGGCTGTTGAGGGGGGAAGGGGAGAGGGGGGGGGGCAGGGTGTGTGGGAGCAAACAATCAGAAGCAATCAATGGCTGCTGATGGACGCGGGGCACAAAGCACACAATCAGCGAGACAAACAGCACAGCAAAAAGGATTAAAGTAAAAGCCATTTACACGCAGTGTATATGTGTGTGTGTGTGTGTGTGTGTGTGTGTGGCAGGCCAAGTGGCCAACAAAAGGGCAGCCGGCTGTGAATAAACAAGGCAAATGAAGCATTAAAGCACTTGTCCTTGTTGTCTTTATGTGGCAAGCATCTACATGGCTGCTCAGTTTTCATTTACACACACACATACACACACACACACTCACATGCGAACACACACTTGAAGATATGTGCAGCATACTTTGCAGCGCTCACATTTCTTAGCACACATGGAAGCAGAGACGACGGCGACTGCGTTCAATTGAGTTGAAATGTGTGAAAAATACTACAAAAAAAAAAGTATTCTATTAAAATAACATCTTTGCCGAATATCAAATACCCTTACAGACATAAAGCTGTTTGGCCAGATCAGCTATTTTATAGCCAGATTAGGCTATATAAAGAGACCCTCAGCCGCAAATAACATCTCAGGACAAAGCTGATTCTGTAATATAGAATATATTTTGGATTTTTGTAAGGTTCAAAGATAGTTTATCTGAAATCTTTTTATTTTTAAACTCTTGTAAGGTCTCTAAAGCGACGGGCTGCTAAGATAACTAATTATATATGGACATAGCGACTATATCGAATCAGCTCTTCATGCTGATGAAGTATATGTTTCTAATCTTAATGCTACTTTGCAAATAATAACAAATGTTCGCTTCGTGACAAAATTATAATACCTGCTGTTAGGGTATTCAAAAAGGATAACATTCAGTAGACAGACAAAGAGACGGCCAGACAGAGAGACGGGCGGGCAGGCATAGGATGTGTTGACGCTTCCGCACATCATCAAACAAAAAAAAAGGCTTTCCTTTGCTTTGTTGTCGCTTATCCAACACTTTTTACATTTATTTACATGTTGATTGTCTGCCTGTGTGTGTGCATGTGTGTGTGTGTGTGTGTGTGTGTGTGTCTATTGCAAATTGGCTGCGAGGATTCTTCCACTTGAATTGTCAGCTTCTCCTTCATTGACACTCATTGGCCCTGGCCCGCCGCCTGATTGCAATTGACAGTTTCAAGAAGCGAATCACAAGAATCAAAAAAAAAAAAACAAAAAAAAAGGGTTGCCAACACGTTTGCACAATTCTTCAGAGCTGGCGCTGTGTGCTTAGCAAATTGACCGTTGCGCAAATATTTAAATAGTTGTGCATATGTTTCTGGCAACGCTGCCCCAAACCTAACAGTTGTCCGGGCCAGGGCCGGGGCAGGAATGGGTCAGGCATTGGGACGGAGGCCAGTGTTGTGTAGCGTTGGGTCAGCAATCACATTTGCAGCAATTAGATTGCCAGATTTCATGTTTTATTGGCATTTTTGATTACATTTTCGGGCCGAAAGCAATTTCATATTGAATTTCTTGCGAGAGACACGCCCACAGTGCGGTACAGTGTAGGTAAACGTTCGCTTATGTTGTATTTTTATCATCCTCTTATTTGGTATTTTCTGCGCATTTAGTGGGCCAATTGTTGGGAAAGCAGCTAATCAGCCTCGAATCGAATCAATCGTTTTTGATGAGACTCTCAGATCAGATTTGGGCTCGTGTTGAGCACAAATTGCACACATGCCCACATTTTTGGCCTGTCCCATAGATAAACTGCGCGTACTTCGACTAATTAGCAGCACTTGAGCGCACAAAACAAGAAAAAACAACAAAAAAAAAATAATAGGAGGATAAGCTAAAACCAACCCCTGAAATTAAATAGAAATTTGTCATATGTCTGGTTGCTTACCTTAAGGCGCGACTCAGCTTGTCGTAGTTCATGTTGGGCTTGGATTTGCGCTCGCCCCAGCGGCGGGCTACCTCATCGGGATCGGTTAGCTTGAACTCGCCGTTGGTGCCCTCCCAGGTAATGCAGCTGGCATTGTTGGAGTCCGACAGCAGCTCGAGCAGGAACTGCCATAATTGTATCTGTCCCGAGCCTGTAAGCAGAAAGCGTAGAAGAATTTATAACGTGCACGTATGTATATAATAGAAATATAAAAGCATTCTTAATGCCCGTATTTTGCCAGCCTAAATGTCCGTCAAAAGAGCATATCCTTTAGTCTAAGTCCTGCTGCTGCCAGCGGGCATGGAATTATGTAACTTTGACTGCGCCTCGTGGCCAAAAGCTAAGCATTTTGTGGCATGCAAAAGTGCCATAAAGCATTTCCGACACGGCGACGCCGACGGCGACCTCTTGACCGCGACCGGCATCTCCACTTGCCAGCAGGCTTTCCCGATTTATTTATGTAATATAACAATTCGATAAATTAGCCAAGACCTGAATGTTGTGGAAAAGTTTTTGGTAATAAGTTGAAGCCAAAGGAAATGACATTGCATGTAAGTGAAATGTAAGACGGCATATCATGTATGTATACATAATATATGTTAATATCTAGTATTATATATGGAAAATGCTAGAGCGGAAAAGCCTTTCTTACTATCACAAATACATTTTGATAGGGAAACAGTTTTTAAGTTTGAACGAGCCTTAGTGCATGGTAAACGTAAGCTGACATGAAGTTAAAATGGGGCAAGTGTGGCAACGCTTTTTCAAAAAGATGGCAACACTTTTTGGACCAGTTGAGCAGTGCAGTTCAATATTTAAAGAGCTCTTGTGTAGTTGTTTATGTCACAGATTTTATCATTTAGGAGGAAACTTCGCATGCTTATGTGCATGGTAAATATTTACCAGGCAGATAAGTTGACCCACTAGCTTGCACAGACAACCTTAGTTGGTATTATATATGAAAAAATTCTAAAGGATTTACTGCGAGAAAAATTGCCCTCATGTTAAAGTAAGTTGACATGATGTTAAACTGTCAAATGGGCTTTGTATACAAACGGGGTTGACGTAGGTGGACATGTAGTTAAACTGTGTTTTAAAACACGCAATACAAATTCATGTTACCCTTAATAAATAGGTTTTGGGCAAGCAGTTGATTGTTTAATAAGGTGACAACTCTGCATATTTATCTACATGTCAAATATCTAGCAGCTAGTTTATTAGCTACCAAAAGTTAGCTTTGCTTCAAATAACGAAAACGTGCTTTACAACACGATAAAGTGACTGTAAAATATATTCCAAAAAGTTAAAGTTCATGTCAAGCTCAAGATATGTGTTCTGGCTCTTTAACTCGCAGTTAGTTAGCTCTCTCTACAATTCAGAGATTCGCTCAACCATTTCATGTGCACATCTTCAGTTGACCTTTGGCTTTTTAGCAGCTCGAATCCCAATTGCCCAATGTCGTCGCGTTCATTATGCAATAATATATTTATGAGTATACTTTGATTTTTCCTTTGTGCGTGCTAAAACATTTACAATATTATTATTTTCGCATTGTGCGAACGATTCGGCACGCATTCAACGCAGACATCATAAATCGCTTAATCATTTGGCAATTAGGCCCAGCCCCAGAACAAAGTCTCGCTCTGTGCCCTGTCAAAAAATAAAACAGAAAAGAACACACACACACACAAAGGGTGAGGGTGTGTGGGCAAGCCTGCAGGGGATGAAAAACCTGACAGTCCTGGGAAGTTAAGGTTGAGTTTCCTTCTTTTTTTTTTTGGGTGGTGGCTTTAGCTGTTTGTTCATGTGTGAGAAACGTCATGAATATTGCGTTAATTGCAAATCATGGTCAAGAGAATGTGTTAAGTGCCAACACGACGACGACACGGATGATGTTGATGATGACAACGACAGGAATGAATGATAACTCAACCGGTTGAACAGTGTCCAGCCGAAGGCGTGGCCAGCAATTGACACGCTATTAAGTCACAATAATTCACAGGAATACGAACTGCTAATTGACATGAGGTTAACCTGCAGTCAAGCATTTGATCAAACCATAAGAAAATTAAAACTTAAGCCTTTTTGAAGATATTTGTTTCATGGCTTAGCCTCTAGATTAATTCTGCCTCCTAGGCAATCTAACACTTTTTTGGCAAAAATAAATTATCTTCAACTTAAAATTGTATATAAACGAGAAAGTAGGGATATCTTAGGCACGCCAAAGTTTTTATACCCTTGCAAGCAGCTCGAATTTGCTGAGTTTGTTGAAATATCTTTGAAAACACAATATTTTGCCATATAAGATCCTACCTTTCCATCGATCCTGCCTATAGCAGTTTTCCATACATCAACTAATAAAATAAGATGCTGAAAGACTAATTTTCTTCCTCAACGATGATATTTGTCCTTCATAAATAACTCAGGCAAAACCCAACCGATTTTGAGTCTTGGTTTGTCGCCCAAATTCTGCATTCCAAAACTTAGATATTACAACTTTTCTTGGACATGCTTTTTGCCATAAAAAAGTAGCTGCTAGCTTTAGCACTTTTTTTTAGCACTCTTTTGGCCAATTGGCGGGGCAATTTGGCCGCGAAGGCGTCGGCGCCGCTTCTGAGAAATGTTAATTTAATATATTAAGCGAAAAAGGCGAAAAAAAGTGGAAAAGCTAAGTAATTAGCTTGAGGAGTCGTGGAAAATGTGAAAATGTTGCTTTGATGTGCCGACTGAGGCTGCACTTGTTCTTTCATTTTTGCTTCCTTTTTTTAATTACAAACTAGTTTGTGTGCTGCAGCCTGGTAATTATGTCACGACTGGAGCAGCAGTAGCTAGTTTTAGGGGTTTTTCTCGCTAGTAGTTTGCTTTTTTTTTTTTACACTGTTTTGGTTGCATGCACAACTTGCAGCTGTGTCTGAGCCGGGCGCATGCAAATGAGGCACGAGGCAGGGGGGGGGGGGGGTGGGGGGCGGGGAGGGGGCAGAGAGGCGCGATTCTTGCAGCTTGCAGGCAGGCCGAGACCGGACTTGGCTAACAAAGCGGTTCCGTGTCCAGAGGAAGCCATAATTAATCAAAAACAGCATTTTTGCCACCCAAAAAGCGAAAGCGCACAGCTATGTGTGTGTGTGTAGTGTGTAGTGTGTGTATGTGTGTGTTTCTCAGTGAGCTTTTGCGATTAACTTCAAGTTGAAGTCAACTTGGCAACGGCCTAAGCCTAAACAACAAACACAACACGCAGCTTGAGCTCGAAAGAGACAGAATACCCCCCAGTCAGAAAGAGAGAGAGAGAGAGAGAGAGAGAGAGTGAGAGAGAGAGAGAGAGTGTGAAGGCGGGAGCAATGGCGCTCGGCTCGTGTAAATGTCGCGCCGGAAAATGTTGGGCGTCTGAGTTTTTATGCTAATTCCGTTTCAAGCGCCATGTTTGGGGCGCCGCTTCTGGGCGTGGAGGGGTTGCTTATTTTTAGTGGAATGGGGGGGGGGGGGGGTGGCTCAACACCCCAATCGGCGTGGCTAACAATGGCGGCAAAGCTCATCCTGCCGCAGGATCAATAAAAATTATTGATTTTGCTCAACAACTTTCATTGCATGACGGTCAAATTCAATTCCAAATTAAAGTTTGTCAAATGTTGAATGCAATTTAGAATTTATTAGCAGCGTGTGTTGTGTAGTAGAGCTGCAAATATGACCATAATCGATAGTAACGATAGGCCATAACGATAATTTTTGATAAAGCTATTACACGCTTGGCTTAAATGCTACGCAATTTTCAGAAAGTGTAAAAATGGGTAACTAAGAAAATTATATGTAAGCTATATTGCTAAAAAAACAATTAAATTTAATATTATCGATAATAAATCGATAAGTTCTAAAAATCGATATCGATCAGTTCTGAAAAAGGTTATCAAGTCTTGTGCCCTATAATTTTCAGAAATTTAGAAATAAATACTTTAAAATAAGTTTTATCCATATTTTTATAAAGTAATCGATGAACATATCGGTAATTCAAGACTTGGCCCTAATGCTAGATTTAGTAAAGAAGTTAAATAAAAAACACTTTAAATTATTATCGATCATTTTTGCAAACAGAACAGGCAGTAAGCATCAAAATTATCGATAACAACTCGATAGCTGAAAAATTATCGGTTTAATAAAGTTGAGATAGAATAGTTGATAGATAACCCAGTTCCAAGATATATCTATATCTTATTATTATAGGTATAAATACAAAATATGATTATCGATAACAACGCCAAAACGGCATGCATTTATAAAACAGTGGACATATAACCTAGCACTTCAATGATATAATACATCATCTTGCTCTAAAACTCGTCCTCCTTGCATTTAACTGATTTTTCGTATGCTTGGGAACATTTGAGCTGCACTTTGGCTATTAATCATAAGTGATAAATGCACACCTACTTTTTAACCCTTTGTTAAACCCTTTTTGAAAACTAGAAAGTCAGCTTTTGGGCGCGTGCTGAACAGACAACTGCAAACTGCAAAAGTCAAAAAGTTGGGTAGAACGAAAAAAACAGAAAAAAAAAAACTGAAATAAAATAAAAAATAATTGCCTGGCCACGCCCACAGCGGCGCTTAGACACACGCATGCGATATGTGGCGAATAATAAATTCTTACCAAAAAAACACCTTTCGCATAAATTAGAAAAGTGTAAAGCCCGGATCCGGGGTTCAGCATTTGCCCTCTGCATGCAATGGGTTAATTTGTTAGGGCGCGACGCTGACTAACCTCCAGCCGAATCTCGGCCAGAAATTGATATGATAATGAAGTGCAACCAGGGAGGGAGAGAAGGAGGGGAAGGGAGCGAGTGGCAGACACGTTTCTTGTTTTGTTTTTGTCCTTAATCAACTTAATCTAAGCACCTGTATCTTTATGCTTTTGTGATTTTCACTCACCTGAGCTGGCCAGCCTGCTGCTGGTGGGTCCGAACATTTGATATGGATCTGCAAAGAGGGTGGCAAGACATTAGTTGTTTTTTTTTTGTCGACTCTAACTCGATTTCTTTTAGTGCACTTTATGCAAATGTTAATGAAGGACCTGCCAAAACGGAATACATTATATTCTGTGTGAGGGCGAGAGCTCGAAAGAAAAAAAAAAAGAATTGTACGTGGGCAAGTTACGTTTCCGCCGATGAAATGAAATGCATTACCGAAACTGCACTTACACACACACACGCACACACACGCACACACACACAGAGTCGCATATCCATTTCAGTTATTATCCGGCGCGCGTTTCCTGCCAGCGCAGCGACTGAGCCAAAAAGCTTAGCATACTTTCAGGCGCGGCGCCCAGCTAAAGGTTAGACTGTTGCCAACAGCATCTTTCACGCAGCACAATTGTCCATAATTCGCATCATTCAGAAAATGCATATATATATATATATCTAGATATACATATATATTCATCAGCAAGCATTGTTTTTTATTTGTACCCCATTGGAAGAGGCAAAAAAGGGAATCATATTTGTCAGCGAATGTATGTAACAGGTGGAAGAAAGCTTCTCTGGTTCTTGTTCAATAGAAAAAGTCTGTCTATGTAAACACTTCCAACTTGAAACTTTAAAATTGAGAGACGTGAAATGGTAAATATATATTCTTCTCTATCAGACGCAGCAAGAGTTTATCATTATATCGATAAATATCGATTTTAAGACCTGCTTTTTAACTTGACTTAACTCGAGAATTATAAAAGCCAGCTACACCAAACTTGGTATGTAGCTTCTCGTGTAGCATGCACAGCTAAGGAATATATCACTTTATGCATAACTATTAAATTTGCTCAGATTGCGCTCAGGTATACACACACTTTTTCATGCCCTACTCAAGCCATGAAAATTCCATAAAGATCGCACAATAAACATCTGAGTTACCTTGGGTTAGTTTTCTAAAGGAAAGAGGGAGTATATTTCTCTCTCTGTAAAAGACGTTCGAGGGTATCTACTAGCCGCGTACTGCCGTCTAGAACGCTCTGCTTTTGTTTTCTACGGGGCTATTGTTCGCGCGCTCTGAACAATTTAATGCGCCGCATAAACAGGACCGACGGCAACTTTGGCAGGCCGACTGACTGGCTGGCTGGCTGGCACGCGTCTTGTTCGGCCACGGCCGTCAAATTTGACAGCAAAAATATATAAAAAACAAGAGGCAGAAGCAGAAAAGCAAGCCAAGTTCTCGGCATCGTTTTGAGTGCGTCTGGGGCTGCGCTCTAATTGAGAATCCTTTATGGCATTTCAATTGTTTCCATTACGCTTCAATTCGTATGCGAATGCGAATGTGAATACAAATGCGAATGTGGCGCACTTTTGTTTCCATTTCAGCTCAAGTGGCGTATTTAAGGTTTGATTTGCGACAGTATTTTCCAAAAGGGGATTTTACAACACTTTAAAAGAGTAAGGCTGGGGTAAAAGGACATAACGCACGACTGGCGGTCGCACACTCTGACTCTGGAGTGGACTTGGCATTGAGTGGTGGTATTTGTTTCAAAAATACAAAAAATCGAAAAACCAGTGCCCGAAACTCGAGTGCCACTTGCAGCGTGCGCACATTTCAAACTTTATTAGTGTTGGTAAACAGCCAACAGCCTCGCTGGCTGCGCCGTGTTTATGTTTGAGTTTGGGCTAAACAAAGCGGCACGTGAGCTCAAGCACCTTCTCCTTAATATGCCTTTAATGCATCCAAACAGCGCAAGGTACTTAACTTTTTTTTTTTTATTTTCATTTTTGTTTTTTACCTGTATATAGGGGCTATATGTATAATAGTACTCACCAGGTTGCCGTAGTTGTGTGTGCGGATCATGTTTAATACTCAACGCATTCGAGCTGTAGCCTGCAAATATTGAACACAAATTTCAGTTGTATTCGAAGTGGGAAAGTAAAATATTGAAGTAAAAAATAAAACTGGCAAGAAAATTAAAATAAACCGAGAGTAGAATCAGGGAAATATATAACGTTAACAGATATTAAAGACAGATGAGCTTCTAGCCTGGAAAGTATATAAATATTTGTAATGTGCATAAACAGACAAATAAGCTGGATATGTTAGCCTATCTATCTGTATAAATCCATTAATTTCATTAGCTATAAGGTTCATAAGGTTCAGCTCAGTTGTCAGTTCAATTTTTTAGCCTTAGAATACAATTCCCTTTATGTATGTGCTTATGTCTTTTCTCCCCATCCTCAAATTATAAATGTAACTTCTAGAAAATTTTATATTACCTATTGATTTATCTATCTATCTAACCACATCAATATTCTCTCCCCAATTTGAATCGAATGAAGTTTGATTAAGTGCAGATCTAAGTTCTCTTAGATTTTCAGATTGTGAGTGAAGGGACAACTATCTGTAACAGGTATTGCCTGGATTAGCTGAAGATGAATGGGTCTCAGTTTTGGTTTCGCATACTCGATTTTAATACATTTAAAAACTCAAAGTTTTTGGGCACTCGAGCTGCTCGAGTCGAGTCGATTCGATCGAACTCACTTCCAACGCGAACTATTTCGATTGTAAGCGAGCTCATACATGTATTACCTCACAGCACACAGTTAGCTCGAACATGTTGCTGACTCAAGCAGTTCCAACTTCGTTTGCGATGAATATCTTGAGGTTTGATAAGTGTTTGCGTCGTCTTGCATAAAGCTCATTAGCCTGTTTGATGGAAAGCTAGCCAGGCGTAAAGTCAACCAGTTGTCGGTTAATATTGTGAACGCCATAACACTTGTCATTTGAACGCAATCAAAGGCATCAAATTCAGCCGCAGCACAAACATTATCATAGTTCTGTCATCAAAGCAAATCACAGCCCAAAGGCTATGAAGGACGAGGAGGAGGGGGGGAAGGGGGACTGTGATATGAGCAATCCTCTCCAGCGTCGGGCTCTTTCATTTTAATGGAATATGATTGTATGGCAGGCAAAACAATGCCGCTGGCAATTCAATTTAAAATGCGATGAGATCTCTGCAGAGACGGAGAGAGAGAGAGAGAAAGAGAGAGAGAGAGAGGGGGAGAGAGTGTCAAAAAGCGTTGAAAGTTGCGGCAAACTTCACGCTCCATACAAATTAAAGCCGCAGGCAAAGAACTGCGGGCCAGGGGCATGGCTGAGTGCTTGTGCACCGCCCGCTGTTGTTTTCGTTGTCACTCATTGTGCAAAAAATACAACAAAAAATATCTAGAGAAAAGGAGAGAGACTGAAAGAGAGAAAGGGAGGAGGAGAGGTACAAGTTTTCTCTGTGACATTTTGGGTTTTACGCTTTTGCGTGGCCACTCAACTGCGAAGCGCACAAAAGATGCCCGATTGCATTTGAGCGGGGCGAGGGGGTGGTAGGGGGAGAATTTGTAAGGGCGGGGGGTGTTTGGGTTGAGTTGGACTTTCTGTTGTCAGAGCCTGGCTGGCAGCTAAACAGGCGCAGCCAAGCTGAAACTTCATGTTAAAACGCTTTACAGTTTGTCGCTCAGATTTGTAGCCGCAAGGCAAAGATCGTGCGGGTTTCTAGTGCAAAGTTGTTTTTGTTTTATCCTGCTAAAGGGTTTTAAAGGGTATGTGCTACGCGTAAAGAAGACATCGGCGATTCTATGAGGTATATATACACCTCGGCATAGGCAAGTCCTTCTTTCCTTCTCTTTCTTTCTATGTCAATTAGTCTCTCAGGGCCTTCGAAACTTTTAGTAGATCTATCTTTCTGTTGTAGTCAGAACCACACTTCTATATAATATAGCTGCCATAGGAATAATACGTCATATTTCCAGATAACTTGACCAAACTCGGCATCTATAAGTTAAACCAAGTTCTTTTCATATGAGCTAACCATTTTCCATATCCCTCCTCTTATTCTTATCCTTATCCTTACTATAACTCGAACTTATCCTTATCCTAACTATAACTGCGAACTACCTTATCCTTATCTTATCCTTATTATAACTTCGAACTGCCTAACTACCTATCCTTATCCCTATCCTTATTGTAACTATATAAAAGTAATATATCTCGAAACATAATGGATCTATGGAAAAGTGTTTTGTTTCTTCAGTTAGCTATATCCAACTCATCTATTCCAAGCCTCGTTAATGCCCAGTCTCAAGCCCCTTTTCTAGCTGACTTTATTTCCTTTTAAATTGTTGGTGCCTTTCCTAACTAGCCTAATGAGCAGGTTCTTCAGTTTGGCCCAAGAGTCAGACCCTATGCGTGTCTCCACGCTTCATTTGACACCCCTTCGCCACGTCCGGGGCTGACTTTTGGCTGACAGGGACACGTGTAGGCAACACCTTTTCGATTTTACATTTCATTTTTTTGCTTGTTTCCCATTCAGGCTTGTTGCGTTTATCAATAGATTGAACAGCATTTTGCACGGTTCGTTGGGCTCCTTTCAGTGTGTGCATGTGCGTGTGTGTGTGCGCGTGGTGTCTCTTTTGCATGCCAATCAGTGTGTACACATGCATTTATTTATTTATTGGCTTTTCAAGTGCCCTTTGCTTGATTTGTGGCCAATAATTTCATATAATTTTGAGCTGTTGGTAAAACTTTTTGAATAGATCTTTTCTTAACTTCATATCATTCAAACTTTTGCGAGTGGCAAAGTTTTTACAGTTTTGAATTGAAGCAGGCTTCTGGAAATAGGTTTATCCTAACCTAAAATATGAAAATCCTTCCGATTATTTTCGGTTTATCTTGCGATTATTTTCGACTAGAAGCTTACTCAAGAAAATGTTTTATCATGTAATAAAATTTTACATTTTCTTTTCTCTTATAAACTAGCAATAGTATAGACTAGCTAACACACATTCTACATTCTAGATTTTGATTTGAGAAAAAATAATATTATCCCAGTTTTCTTCACTTTTTTCAAAGCTAATAAAAGCAATTTAATCAACTTAATCAGAAATGTTTTGTCATCTAGTTTTAAGTAATAATCACCTTTATATTATTTCTAATTGAGAATCTCAAAATTTCGAATTATATTTTGTTAATATTTCGCTCTTTAGAACTCCGAAAATATTTATTCAGGAAATATTTGTAATAATTGCAACGAAATAATTTCAATATTAATAATTATAACATTGATAATAAAAATAATAATAATATTAATAATGATAATAATAAAAATGATAATGATATTAATAATAATAATAACAATAATTGCTGGATCTTCGCTTGATCAATGTGTTTCGTATTTCTTGTGGATTATTTCAAACTAAATCTTGTAAAAAAATGATATACTATGAAAGTTTTCCTTCTACGCTCTTTTGCGTTCCGTCGCGCTTTCATTAGTCTAATACTAATAAAATAAACAATAAAAAAGAAATTGGACTAAGAGAAAACGATAGGAATGCTTAGGTAAACAGGACATCTATATAATGCCGAGAAGAAAGAAAACATGAAAAATATATAAACAGAAATCTTGATTCATTCAAAAACTAAAAAGTTGTCTAGTTTCAGACATTAGACATTAGACATTATTCGAATCAGAATTAATCCATTTCTAATATCAATTTACACTCACCTTGCGATTGTGTGGAGCTGTGCGAGCCCCACGACGATTTGTACGAGGAATCTGCAATAGAAGAGAACAAAAAAAAAGGAAAAATCAGTAATCAGAAATTTTAAAGTTGCACGAAAAACGTGAAGAAAAAATGGGGAAATGTCAGGAATTGAAATTGGAATAGAAAATTGTACTCGACTTAGACTAGCAAAGTTCAGTTGGGTTTGTTTTGCGTAAATATAAATATAGATAGATATTTATATATGTATATTATTGATTTATTTACTTGGATTCCATGTGGGATTGCCCATCACCGTTGGCCGGCTGGATTCACACATTGCCCACTCACCTGCGAAGAGCATTGAGAAATTGCTAAAGCTGCCCGTGGAGCGTGACAAATAATCAGCGGATGATTTAATGTCGAGCATTGTGGTGGCAGCGACGGCAACCGCCGGCGGTGCTCCTGCTGCTCTTCCGGCTGCTACAGTTGCTCCTGGTCAGAGCAATATGCCACGACGGAAACAAGGACACACACGTAGCCAAATTTAGGCGAGTCTTTCAAGAGTTTGTTTCTTCAATTTCAAATTGAATTTATTTGTTTGGCAAAAAGTCAACGACGCGCCGGAAAACGAAACGGAACGGAACGGGAAAAGTGACGATCGGAACCGGTTACCGTTACCGGACACCTCCACTTCCGGGCCGAGCTAGCCAAATGCACTTTGATTTTAGAAACCGACTGCACGCGCCCGCGTCTCTCTGTGTGTGAGTGTGAGTGTGTGTTGATTTATATATGTGTCAATCTGTGACTTCTAAATCGCGTATACGCAGCGTAAATCACTTGCAGAGATGCTTTCGGTGAGAGCCGGATTGCGTCCGATCTGTGGCACGGCAGCGTAACAATTGATTTCATTCCGTCGTCAAATCGCGCATATCCTGGCCCAGCTACCGGGCCAGTGCCCAAAAGTAAAAATAAAAAAAAAAGAAAACAACCCCACGCAGCAGAAGGGCGCAGGCTCAGCCAGTCACAATGTGGGGGTGGGTGGTTCGGGCTGGTTGGGTGGTTGCTGCTGCTGCTGCTGCTGCTACTTTGTGTATCTATCTGTCTGGCTGTGAGTGTGCGTGTGTGCGTGTGTGTGTGTGTTGCTGGCTCTGTTTGACGACGACGACGTCGCTGCTGTTGTCCTTTATGCGCGCCAGGATATACTTAGGTTATAATCCACACCAGAAAGGCAGCCACCCCTTTTCCGTTGAAACACCAATCAGCGTTGAGACAAGGTGTGGCCTAGCTTTGCACACACATACACGCGCATACTCTCACACACACACATACAATCTCTCTCATACACACATACAGTCGCACGCAAGCTTTTTGCAAATGGCTTTGACAAAACAATTTTTTTTTGCTGGCGGCTATTTTTAGAATCTTTACTATCGATCATTTTGCTCTCTCTCCTAATCAACTCGCTCGCTCGCTCTCTCACTTTTGTTCTCTCGCTCTCTCTCTCTCTCCTTTGTCGTTCTCTATTTGTAGGAGTTTACCGTTTCCACTTGAAATCCAGCCGCAGCTTTCGTTCAAATTTTCTGTGCTTATAGGCAGCCACACTTGACGCTCTCTGCCACTGCCTCTCTCTCGCGCTCGCTCGCTCACAGCGCTTGTGCTGCTGCTATCTCGCTCGTGCACTGTGTGTGTAGGCACTCGTTGCGCTGGCGACGTCGTCGTTGGCAGCGACTGCACTGCGCTGTGGCGTTGCCTTTTTAGTGGGTGACACGAAGCAACAAGGACGGATGTATTATCCACTTCCTTTTTCCTTCCACCAAACACAAGGATATTACCGTTTCGTCGTTCGCGGGGGGGGGGGGGGGGGGGGGGGGGGGGGTGCGGCAGTCGTGTGTGTGTGTGTATGTGTGTGTGGGGGTTACGGGGTAAACACCTGAAAACAATGGCTTGATGGCCATTCAAGCTGCTTGTTGCGATGCCAGAATTGTGGCTCAAATCGACAATTGTTGTTGGCGCGCGCTGATTGCAAAAGCCTGCGCCAACTGCCGCTGTCGGCGTCGCTGTCGACGTCGGCGTCGCTTCAAGCTGCTCAAGTGCAATTTCTCTTGTCGCGCTGCTAAAGTCAGCTGCAAGCTATGCAAAATAACTGATACAGATACAGAGACACACACGCATACACAAGCACATATACACATGCACACACACACACACACACACACACACATGCACTTTGCCACTTGGCTGGCTTAATTAATTTTTGAGATCATTGAAATTGTTTTTTATTTGCCCAACTCCAAAACTCATTTCAGCCTTTGGCTAATAAAAGCCCCATGTGCCCTATGTGTATGTGTGTGTTTGTGTGTGTGTGTGTGTGTGTGTGTGTGTGTGTGTGTGTGTGTGGCTAATTCACAGGCGTCAACATACAAATTGCAGCTGCTCAGCCACATGCAGGTGCCCAGCAATAGCTTTTTATAGTTTTTTTTTAGCCTTTTTTAGTACTTTTTCTTGCCGCTAAAAACAAATTTCGCTTTTCGCAAAAAGTTGGCAACTCAAGACGTGGGTGTGTGTGTGTGAATGCGTGTTTCTGTGTGTTTGTGTGTGTGTGCTCTGCCTTGCTTTGACAAGCAGTTATTTAATAAAAGTTATCTGGAGGACGGCTTCAACTTTGGCTTGATGGCAGCCATTTAAAATCTCATATGCACTCGGAGCTGCGTGGGTCGCTTTTGAAGTAAAGCAAACTAATTAACAATTCGATATTTAATAGAAAACTAAATTTAACCACAGCTTGCATAACCTGCCTAAACGCAGATGGACTGTAGTATAAGACAGGAGTATAAGACAGGAGTATAAGACTTAGCGATTCTCTAGCTTATGATGTAAAGCAAACATGGAGCAATAACTCGTTTAAGTGGAAATAGTTAATAATTAAAAAAAAACATACATTTTGTGACAAATTCCAATAATTTGATATCGCAATCAGTTCTTATTTAATATAAGCAAAAATACTTGAGTCCTTTAAACAAAATTTTTAAAGTTTTCAAAGAAAAATTTAGACTGCTTCCAAACTGTATTCGTATATATTTCAAGAAATATTTATTTATATATATCAATATGGACTCGTCGTCTAATCAGAATTATATGTAACTTCTGAATGTCAAAGCGAACGTTAAACAATTCGCTTGCTAATTGTATTTCCTCAGCAAGAGTATCTATACTTGGAAAATCTAAAAGAAAATCTGCTCAGCTCCTTTAACATAGCTTTACATATACATACTCTCTCTTTCGCTCAGGGAAAAAGTGGTATATTGGTTAACTGCAATGTCCGAAGAAATGTTCTCTTTGGTTCAGTTCACGGTTCGCGGCAACTTCACAGTTTACAGAAACGTTTTGTTGGTTCAGTTCACGGTTGGAAGCAACGTCTCGACTTAAGATTCGGTTTCCAGTTTTCTACTTCAATAAATCAAATTTTGCAATAATATTTTAAAATATAACAAGAAACCCATTTTGTTTAAATTTATATTCTGTTTCCGGCTTAGGTTTCCTTTTGTACCCCTTTCACCCACGATTCAAGGTTCGGTTCATGGTTTATAGAATAATGTAAGCTCAGACTCAAACCAGACTCTAGTCTAAAACTGGTTTGCAGCCTTGATTATGGCACTTAATAAGCGTCCCTCGTAGCTAAATATGTGTGTCTACAAGTGCGTGTGTGTGTGTGTGTGTATGTGTGGAAACCCTTGCTAATGGAATCTAAAATGGCTAAATAGCAATTAACTGTTCTTGGCTTTCTGGCAGCCAAAGGCGAATGGCTCTGAAGGGCAGAGTTTGCTTGGGGAGAAAACTAAGTTCACTTGGCTCAAATGTTTGCCGCGTTGCCGCGGCGCTGTATGTGTGTGTGTGTGTGTTGGCTGTGCGAAATTTAGTTGGTATTTTAATTGCATTCATTATGTAATTTCATTTTCACGCTTGTGGCAAAACTTTAAATTAATTTCTTTTGTGGCGCTGTTTCCGCCATTTTGCATGCGACCCCCCCCTCCACCCTCCTTAGACCCTCCCTCAGGCCCGCCCCTGCGCCTACCACATGCGGCATTTCCGTGGAGGGGGCGAGCTATTTAAGCCGCGGTTGCTAAGACCCTGACGCTGCCACGCCCACACTTGAGGCGTACTGCGAAATGCGTCATCTTAGCGCGGACAGCAACCCACACCCACACCCACACAGCCCAAACACAAACCCCAAGCCCTGGCCCAATGCATCAAGGTTCGTGTTCCATTTGTTTGTGTGCAGCCAGAGAAGTCAACGAAGCGTCAAGACAAACATGACACGAATGTTGGAGAGAGCGTGAGGGTGCTGAGTGTTGGTGAGGGGGGGAGTGCGGGCTGACAGGGAGCATATTGTCAGTGTTGGGCAACCACCAACATTTGCAGTTAATAAGAAACGCAATCAACGCTGCGATTTGTTTTCTCAAGCTCAATAAAGTAAAGTCGGGAGTGTGAGAGAGAGAGAGAGAGAGAAGGAATACGTGTGTGTGTGGAAGAGAGCAAGCATGCTGCTAATATTACGCGCGCCTGTGTCTATGCAACAAAAACAAACTGCCTACAATAACAACAGCAGCAAAAGCAAAAGCTAAAAGGCAACAACAACAAGAACAAGGAGCTGCGCCCGCACACGTGGCCATTAATGACGTATGAATGATATAACACGCGACGGCACGTGGCCAACTGGCCGACTGCCTGCCAGCGGCATGACAGGACGCATTCTGCAGCTGGGCCGGGCTGGACAGGACAACTCCTGGAGTGATTGCTCCTTTACTTGGCACCCGTTGGCGGCCCTTTAATACCCGCGCCCGCCTTGCACGGGCGACCCGTCGGATTGCTCATTTCGCCTGCAGCAAGAGATTTTTATGCGAGTTGTGTTTTTGTTCTTTCTCTCCTGCTTGTTGCTGGCCAGAAATGCGTATTGTTATAATAGGTATTATAGAGGGTTATGAAAAGCTTTACAGATGTGTCACAGACTACAATAAGCTAACTTGGACTCATTGCATAAAAAAATATCGATAATTCAAAATGTTTGTCCTAATTGACTAACTTATTGGTTAAAGGCAAACATTTGTTATGCAAATTTTCAAATCGGTTAAAAGAAAATGTATGCCTAGAACATTGATGACACAATTGCGAGAGATCTTCCATATTCGATAAATATATATCGATTTTGTGGAGTAGGTAAAAGTGATCGATAGTTTGAAATAACTTGAAAGTTAATTTCGTATGGAATAATATGTATATGAATGCAATCAGACTTCATATTTATCGATTTCGTAAATACAGGGAAGCTGATCGATAATATAAAACAATTTTAAGGAACATTTCTAATAAAAGGACATGGCTATAGACGGCAAAGAAGCACATCTTTAACCGATATTTATCGATATCGACAGAAATGAGAAAACTGATTGCTAAAAGGAAAGAATTTTTATCGATTTCGTGAAAGTCAGAAAAGTGATAGATTATTTAAAATAAATTTAAAGAAATTTGTATATAAAAGAACATTAATATTTCGAGTTTTCAAGCAAACATTCTGACGGACTAGGCCTCGAATCGATATTTATCGATCAAATGGAAGTCAGCACATTTATCGATCATTTTAAATAAATTCACGAAGCTTTTAATGTGAATGAACAATTGTATTTTAGATTTGAAAGCAGTCATACAATCGGAAGGAATAAACCTCAAATCGATATATATCGATTTTATGGAATCTAGGAAGTTGCCTGAATAGGGAAATCAATTTGATATAATTTCAAATTTAAAGTCCCAGCTCTCATCCCTCACAGCACAGGGTATCTAAATGGCAACCGTAACATTTACTAATCGAAGATGCCTGCTTGGCCTTTCGATAGCCCAAACGGATATGTGACGCGCTTAAGCATGGGTATATCGATTCGCAATATGTAAGGGCATGCGAATACAATGCATTGTGTTGGGACTTTTGCCTGGTTCAATAATTTGTTAATCAAATGGGCGGCAACGGCTATAAAGTGAAATATTCCATAAATCAACGCCGAATTTGCCTGCAACAATGGGTAAAGTTTTATTCTGGGGGGTAGTACGCGTATGAAAAGAAACTAGACATTATATGGGTTCTATTGTTGTCAATGCTTGGGCAAGTGGAAAATAAATGTACTTGAGGCAGTTGAGTCAGAATAAGAAGTATTTCTAATACTGTTTTTTTATAAGGTCTTGAGTTGTGGTGAGGTCTATATCCTATTTTTCTATAGCTATATCATAGTTAAGAAAGAATTAGTCATAATTCAATGGAAGAATTAGTTAATTTATGATTTGAGGAACCATGATCCTCAAGACCCGGGATTCGGAACCCGAACCTCGAATTCCCGGGTTCAAGTCTGGGGTTTTAAATGAAGACCATAGCGGCCAGTTATCCTGATACCTTATAACTATAGTTCATATAGTATTTGTGAAGATTTTGATAGGAATAAAACACAATATCTAGGATCTAGGTAAGGTAAGGATAAGGTTAGGTGAGGTTAGGTAGTGTTAGGTTAGGCTACACTTAGTTAGATAGGGTTAACGGCAGCTCGAAAAACTAATCAAAGTATTTCCCATTGTTTTGGTTCATAGAACAAAATGCCAAAGTGCGAAGACTACGTAATATATATTTGACCAACACAATTGAGTTATCAGATGAATGTATCGACAAGGTTTCCCAAGGAAAACAAATATCAAAAGTGAAAATTGTAATAAAAACAAATTAAGAGCACGCAGAAGAAAGCATATTGTTGGTGTCCCTTTTTATGCGCGGTGTCTAACTAAACAATGGGCGCAATAATTGCGCAATCGAAACGGCTGGGAAAGTGTTGGCTAACGGCGCAAGGGGAAGTGCTGTAAAGTAGGGTGGGTGTACGGCGCGTGGTGCGTGGTGCGTGGTGCGTGTTGCGATTCCTGACTCCGATTGCCCGACGGTTAACTGCAACGTTTGACTTGTTTTCGAATATGCTGAAATTTACTTCTTTTTTTTGAAAGCTAACATATTCACACGCCAAGGGACTCGAGGGCCAAGTGACAACAAACAGCAAACAAACAATTAACAGACAACAAACTACATTTGGGGGAGGGGATCGCAAGGGGTTGAGGCCGAGGTTGAGGTTCACGTGGCTGGCGGGGTCATAAATAAAGTCGCGGTTTGACTCGTGCGACCCTCGCGCCGCGCTGTCAATTGGCCCGATTGACTTTTGGTCATAATTTTTAGTCTCACGCTCGCCCCGCCTCCACCCTACGCAAGTCTGGCAACGCTTGAGATGTGAAAAAAAAACGAACTAGAAAGAAGCAACCGAAATGAAAAGTGCGACACAATAAATTGTTGAGGTCGTAGCTCATAAATTCAATTGACAACTAAATTGCAGTCGCTTGGCCACCGGAGACGCTTCGACACGGCCACCTCCGGCTCTGGCTGCGCTGCGTTTCCGGCGGTAGGTGCAAACGACAAGGTTGCCAGAGTGTTTTCTGCCACCGCCTCCGGCTACGTCTCCGCCGTTGCCAGTGTTGTTGGTCGTCGTTTCTAAACTTTGCAAGTGCGCGTGATTTTTGATATTTCATGTCGGAAGCGGGTCATTTTCAGCGGCATAAATCACAATGGGCCCGCAACGGAAGCGACCTGTTGCCGACCACTCTCTCCCCCCTCCCCCTCTCTCTCCCGCTCTCTATTTCCCTGACAGTTTTTTTTTCCTTTAAAGTTTCGCTTTTAATTGTGTTTTTAGTTTATTGCTTAGGCAAATTGTTTTTATTGGCGCGCAAAAAATCAATGCACAACTAAATTAGCAACATTTTCCAGCTTGTTGCCGTCATCAGCATTATTATCGAGCAGGAGGGGGGGCGGCCTTTTCTAGAGGGGGGAGGGTTGGGCAATAACAATAACAACAATGAATTGATTTATGAGCAACTCGTGCACAAATCTCAGGGGGTTGCCATAATGACTATGCTGGGAGTTAAGTGAACCGCGAAAAGGGCCATGAATAAAAATATTTGGACATCAATAGAAAGCATGGGAAAAAGTTGCTCAAGCGCTTGAACTTTTGTGAACCAGGCCAAGTCATGCTCATATGTAATTTTGACCAAAAAAAAAAGAAAGAAAAAATGATTTCATTTTTTAAGCATTTAAAAAAGATGAGCGCATAAATTGAAGGCGCAGCGCGTCAGTGCGCGAAGCTGTCAAAAAGGACGCGGCGCAAAGCGAAGAAGAAGCAGCCGAGCCAGTGTTGCCAACGTGCGCCAGTTGGCACAGCACAATTTTCAATTTATTTTCACAGCCTGAAACAATTACGACAGCAGCAGCAAAAAAAAAAATGAAATACAAACTGTGCGCAAATGAAATCAGAAATTAAATTTGAAGTGAGCAAAACATACGGCGCCCCCGCACAGCAGGGCCAGGGGGCTGGCAGGAGGGCAGGGGACGGGAAGTGTAAAACGTGCAACACTGGCACAATGTGGGCGTACCCTCCCTCTCTCTCTCTCTCTGTGTGTGTGGGTGTGTCAGAAGTTAAACACCCGCTGGGCGTCCAGGATGGGGTCTAATGCCGTTCACAGATTATCAGATTATGCTGCAAAACTTGATGAGAGATGCGCCGCGCGATAGGCAAATGTTTGTACATTTGAAAATTTCATTTAATTTTAATTAAATCATTTTATATTTTACAACCTTTTATAATTATAGTTGAGAGTTTTTAAATTCGTTTAATTCTTGAATGGTTCCACTGTCAAATATTTAATTGGCGCTCTCAAATATAAGGCAAGTAGCATCAATAGATGAGCAAATATTGGATAAAACTTATGGGAACAGGCACTTAAACTGTTTGAATCGGAAATTCCCGTCTTTTATTTGTCTTAACCGGAACTGCAAAAGATTTTTTATATGTTAACTTAGACTAAGCACTAGACTATATAGGCTGCTACTCAGACTTAAGGCTAAGACTATCTAATTGCTTAATAGTTCAGAATAGAAGACTTTAAACGAGCAAGAGAAGACTCTGAAAAGAATAATCCGTAAAGCTTCTTGTAAGCATGACAGAGGACCCGAGGCAAGGCAACATTTTAGCGATGAAATTGTTTAATTATGGATATGTATAGTATTGACAGACACGTTTAATTGATAAGTCAACATAGAAGAGTTGATTTGACGCGTTACGAATAAATATTACATCAAGTATTAATCAAGGAAGGAATATTCATCTTCAGAAGTTTACTGGAGTATGGCATGAGCCTCACACGAGGATCCCAGACTGTAAAACTGTAGTGAATTTCAAACTGTGATCTGGAAAAATAAATAATTTCGCATTGCACAAAGCCAATATACTCTCTGTGCTAGTGTGAACAGAGTATAATAATTATACAAACATAATCTATAATTTATAATATATCGAATCTAAACACGGGCCTTGCGGGGACTTCAACAGCTTTGCCAAGTCAATCCTCTAATTATATAGAATGATAATTATATAGGTTTTTGTCAGTGCAATTAATATTTAAATTGATTAATCAAGAATCTTAACATGGGCCTGGACAGCTTACTTCAACATCTTTGCCAATTCAACCCTCGAATAATGTTTCTTTTCTCAGTGCCATAAATATTTAAATTAATTAAGCTGTAATCCCGCGTACTACAAATAATCACATCTTGTTAACTCTATCTAAACCGAAAATAAAAACAGAAAATGCCGACGTTCAATTGTCCGTGCCTAAAGTGTGTCTCACACTCTGAAACCAGCTACCAGCTACCCTTCAATAATTTACACTCTCGCCCCCTCCCCGTCAGGGTTAGGCCCTGTCAGCGACGCGTGCGTCGTAATGCGCTTCACATAACATTTTGATCATTTTATGATCTGTCGATTAGCCTCATTGTGTCTGGCAAGAGGGGGTTGCACTCTGCGACGGTGACTGTGCCGTCCGTGTGACTGTGCGAGCCACACGCTTAATAGGATTATCTCTGAAGAGCACTTAAGAGTCAAATTATCAACGGCTGGCAACGCTAGCTGCAATCACAATTGTTGTGACTGTTGCGTTCTGTATGTTTACAGTGGCAAGGACATCAGCTCATCGTTTGTTTGCCCAAATTTCCCACTGTTGTGTCCTGCTGAGGGGCGCATCTTTCGGAGTGCCAGATTAGATTAGATTCTAGGCATCAAAGTCAAGTGGTGCTCGCAATTGAGACATTTAGCTTTTCCCTCAAATGCTACAGGTAGTTCACACGAACATTAAGTTCAATTTAACAATTAAATGTCATTTCAGGATATAAACAAGGTGGCAACACTGTACGTTAAAGCTAAATTATTGGGTTTTTAAGTTCTATCGAGTGATACACATTAAAATATTTCCCCAATATCTCAGTTAATTCACATTAACATTAAATTCAAGTACAATTATATAAGCAAGGTGGCAACACTGTTAGTTAATGCTAGATTATTTGCTTTCTACATTCTAAGGGATATACATTAAGATATTAGCCAAATGTTACTGAGATTAATAGGCTAATGTACAATTATATGTCATGAGCGATATTCTAACACGTGGAACTTTTATCATTTTTTACCTAGTAAAAAATATAACAGAAAGAATTTAAGCAAACAACATGTTAAAATATATGTTGCCTTTGACATGAACATAATTTTAACATGAACATAAGAGCGGCTAACAACTTGGCCGCAGCAGCGCCCTCTGTTGGCGAGTGGAGGGCAACTGCGCTGCTTTTGTCGCCGGTTCTTGTCCAGACTGAAAGCTGTCAAGGCTAAGCTCACGCGCTTGATAAGCGATTTGTCGAGTATTCCGGTAAAAAGACATAGTTGATATAACTTTAAGTAAAAAGTGATACTTACAGAGTGAATTGCTGGCATTATTGTGGCCGTTGCTGCTGCTGCTGGCGTTGCTTTTGCCGACGCTGTGCCTGCCCAGCTCGCTGCTGGACGCGGACGCGGCTGCCGTGGAGGACGAGGCGACGGCGGCATGCGAGGACGTTGTGGCGCAATCCAGCGTGGATTTCTCTGCACAACAAAAAAAAGGAGAAAATAGAGAAACAAACAAACAAATTTTAATTGCTAGGCAGCACAAATTTGCACACTCAGCGCGACACGCTTCGCCATTCGGCATGGCGCAGACCACAGAGCGGAGCGCAGAGGAGGCCCAGTCATAAATCTCAACATAGATAAACGTAACTGGCCCGTTTATTTATTGCCCAAATTATGGTTGGTCGTGGCTGGTGCCGCCGCCCAACCATGACGCTCGCCTGACACGCAACGCCGCTCGGCAGCCACCCCCAGATACAGACAGATCCTGTGAACCGCAAAGGATATAATCGCGAGGGTTGTCACTTCAGACATTAGACCAGCAGCAGCCGTAGCCGTGTTTAATTGCCGTAAATCTTTGTTTGATGTAAACAACAATAAGCGAGCCGGCGAAATTCGCAACGCTTTCAATTGAAATGTCAATGTACAGCTTGATGTCCATGTCCGATAATAGTCATAAGGACGAGTCTGAAATTAGCTTGAGTTGAGTGCCTGGGAACGTGACTGTGTCATACTTGTAGATCCCAAAGACAGTCAAATATGAAACGCAAATAACCTTGGGTTAAGCAAAGCTGAGGAGAGTCTAAAGTTGGCAAGCTTGAACCTTAACGAAGAATAGTATAGCTCTTCTCAAGAACTAATTGATCCCAATTGAGAGCCTAAAGTACACACTAATTGGAGCTCGAACTTTAAACAAAATTGCCGCGCTCATGCAAATCGCTTTGCTTTTGACAGAGTTAGGAAAGTTTGTAGACCAAAGAGTTCGGATACTATGTCATAGTTTTTGTCAATTTTGACAAATTTCTCTCAAGAAATTTGAAGCGGCTCACAATAATTTATAACACACACAACTTTAAAGCGCACAATCGACCAGAAATAATTCTGAATATGAATAAGGGGTAAGAATAATCAAATTTGCCATACAAGATATTTTCACAAAAAAAAAAAATACTCCTAAAATTGTATAGAATACATTTTGGATACAAACCATGACAAAAATGCGCTCATTTGTCAAAATGCGGTTATGTGTTGGGCAAGTTTTGGAAGCTTGAATTTTAATAGAGGCCTAGTTAATATCTGTACTAAACTTCAAGCTTCCCAACACTGGGCATTTTTTTAAGCAAATTTTAGGCATTTTGTGCGTGGCTTTGGATTGAAATTAAGACACTCTCAAAATCATTTCCAAGCTAGCATTTCTTAACCCGGTTTTACAAGCAGAATCGATTAAGAATAACATTTAAAGATTCCACGACAGAAAATTAGTTAGGAGGGGAGGAGGAGGGGAGGAGGAGGAGGGGAGGACGTGACACGTAATAATTTAAAAGAAAATCAAAATAAAATTAAATATTCCAATATGCCTTGATTTTCATGCAGAAGCAATCTAGAGCCAAGAATATAGAACCATCTAGTATAAAAATCGGTTCAGTTTTGGCCAAGTTATGATAGTTCGAATTTGTAGCGGAAAGTACCGTCTATATAGCTGACTGACTGAACGTAAAGTTAGAATACTTTACAACATTTTGCCTACAATAGGCAAAAGAAATATTGACAAGGAATTGTTCAGTAAGCCGTTTCTTGTTCGCGTTCTTAGCTGGTTTTCCAATGTGGGGCTGCCTCAGTAGAAGGACAATACGATATACGTTATATGTAGTATACCAAATGATGGGGAGCGTAATTATCTTTTATGTGCTTTGTGAGCCAAACGTTTTTCAGCAAAAATAATGAGTTACGCATGACAAAGTTCTTTTATGCGATGGCAGCAGAGCAGAAGGCAGCAGTTGACAGCAGCAAAGTTCATAAAGACAGCTAGAGAGGGAGAGAGGGAGACAGAGAGTGGGAGTGGGAGAGAGGTGGACTGCCGTCGAGAGACAGCTTAAAAGGATTCATTTCATATTTGCTTGAGCGCTTTGAGGCTGGGTTTGAGTTGGCTTCAGCTGGCGGCCATTTTGGGCCACCCTAAAGCCAGTCAAGGAAGGACTCGCTTGCTTGTCATATTGAATTCCGGCTTACCAAAACAGGCCACAAAGCCAAGACGATTAAAAAGTCCAAAAAAAACCAGGGAAAAGTGGGTGACTGACTAGGAGATACCCTGTATCCAAATATTGTAGGAAAAAAAAGCACCCCCACATATCCCTAAGCAATGGGAATGCTTTCCTGCATAACTTCGGTGCTTAAAGTCCATTTAACTCGATGTTTATCAACATTATGAAAATTATTGGAAATATCGAAAAACGAATGATACCTTATTCTAGATTTTGTATAGAAGACTTTAAATTGTGACTCTGTATCCTTTGTAGTCTCCGATCTGAACGAACTCGCACAGATGGACGGAAAGGCAGAATGACGGACGGACAGAGACACGGACAGACAGGCAGACGGACAGATGGACTCTTCTTCTCTGCTTCTTACACACATAGTCACAAAAACAAACTACCCGCTTTAGACCTTTTCAAAGAGTACAGGGTACATGAAAGAATTTCTTATAGATATAAGTGGACACAACATGACGGAGGCGGCATAACAAATTCTCGCCAGGCACGCGATGCTATTGTGTGGACAGTGCATTTTTGATGTTTCTATCCAAGCACACACACGCACACACACACACATACACACGGAGCACCCGCCGCCCCTTTTCTGGCCACATTATAAGCCACATCCGTTGCGCCGGCTTAAATTGATAAACAAGTGGAGGGAGGCAACTGCAAGCAAGACCTTGACGTTTATATGGATAATTCAATTTGGCTTTTTTTATAATTTCTTTTATTTTATTTTTTGGGCCATAACAACAACAACAACAAGAACAAGAAAAATTATGTCCAGCTAGCGGTTTTTTGCCACATTTTTTGGCCCATAAAATGTAACGGACTTTGGACGCGAACATTTTTCGGCGTTGCCTTTTGTGGGCGGCCAACGGCCAATGGTCAACATATGCTGCTTGGATGTGTTTAAATAAATAAACGCGAAATTTGCCACTTTTGTAAAAGAAACAACAATTGTTTTCTCTTCGTTTTTTTTTAGTTGTTGTTGTTGTTGTTCTGGCTTTAGCTGTGCCGGAAGCGCAGGATTTGTTTTTCCGCCATTTCGCTGACATTTGTGTTAGACCCACGGCGAGAAGGTCAGTGGGTTGCTCTACGGCTAAAAAGCAGCTAAACAAGCTGCTAAAATGGAATATTTGATTGCAAAATATACGAACGGACGGGGTTGCCATTAAACATTTCAAATCTAGGGCTGCAAGCTAACAAAATGTGGTTCGGTTCACGGATAAAACCAAACAAATCAGACAGTTTAGCTGAACAGCCAGGATATCGAAACTGAGAATAGATTTGTTTCAATCAGAGTTGGATATATTAGAAATGTGGTCGGGAATTTGAATCGGTTCCGGTTCAGGGTTGGAATTTTTCAAAAACAGGGCTGCTGACTCGGCTTACGCTTCGAACCAGGCCTGTGACTCAAGGTGAACGGGTTCACGAGCCTAGGATTAGATCTGTTTAACTCCGAATCAGTTTACGCATCAAACTGCCTTCGGCTCACGGTTGGAAATACCTTGATTCGATGGTTCGATTTAAGCGTCGAACCAGCTCCCTTCTTTCAGGCAACAACCAGACATTCCAGTGCTGAAATGACAAAGACAAGGTCGAAGCAGAGGCGCTTATTCGGCTAATATTTTGAACTAGTTTTCCGGCTTCAGGTTCGGTTCGTGCACCTAAAAATACGGTTCGGTTCAGGTTTTGATAGGACTTTTTTTGTGTGGTCAACTGGGTTGATTCAAGGTTTGGTTTATGTTTAAAATCAAATTATTCTTCCGGGTTCGAACCGTTTCAGTTCTAATCCAGCTGCACATATGAACATATTTATAAACATATTTAAAGAGTTCAGATGACTTCCCTTGTCAGCTCAAATAGATTCACATCTATCTTTGGTCACTTCTTCCTACCTGTTCGAACTTTGTGCTCCACGTGCGAGGTGGTGGACGCTGATAGCGACGGCAGCACCGAGGGCGAGCTGACCGCATCCAACGAGGCAGCCGGCACATGGCCCGCGCTGGACGTGATGACGCCGTGCTGTGTGCCGGCGGGCGAGCAGCCCGATGGCGGCTGCAGTGTGTCCAGGCGATGCCGCTGCACGCTGCCGCCCAGGACGCCGGCGCTGCTGCTGCTCACCGTGTTATAATTGAGCACGCCCACGCCCACTCCGACGCCCACTCCAACGCCCACGCCGGCGCCCGCATTGTGCGTGAGGCCGAGGCAATTACCGGCGCCCGTGCCATTCTGCATGGCGGGCAGTGTGTCCAGCGTGTCGGTCAGCCGCTGGCTGGAGTAGATGTCGCTGCAAAGCACAACCGAATGGCATTAGAAGCTGAGAGAGGCAGCGGCACTCACCTGGGCGACTCACCTGAAGGCGCTGCTGGCGCCAAAGAAACTGCTGCGATCCTGCAGCGCCGCCTTGGCCTTCTCGACGCTCTGCTTCAGCTGCTCGAATGTGGACTGATGGAACCGGTACGAGGTCCAGTCCGGCGAGCATTGGCCCAACGTCAGACAGTCCTCCGTTTTCACCTGGGCCAGCGTCGGCGGCGACACGCGCTTCAAGTCCAGCGCCGTCTGATACGAACACGAATTCTCGTACATGGCGCGTCCCTCCGAAGCGTCAACGGCTACGTTTTGGTTAAGCAATGGATTCCACTTGACTCTGCAAATACAGATGAGAATCGAAATAGAGAATCCTTTTTTAATATCTTATTGCGTTGCTCCAGTTCCAAATGCTTTAAGCAGATCAATAGGTGCGACAAGTTCCTTTTAACATAGGTTTTGCCAGGAACCAGTTTATTAAAAATTAAAATAGACTATAGAAATCTTATATAGAAACAATCGGTCGATATTTCGAACAGTGTGTTTAGAGAGTTATGCAAATATATATTCTCTTAATCTTCTGCATTTCAAAGATAACTATTATTAACTCTTTCTATTTTATTTCATACTACGATGATTTTGCTCTTCGTTTTTTTATACTCTGAACCCGTTCAAAATGGGTATAAGGGTATATTGTATTTGTGCAAAATCCAAATGTATGTAACAGGCAGAAGGAAGCTTCTCCGACCCCATAAAGTATATATATTCTTGATCAGCATCAATAGCCGAGTCGATCTAGCCATGTCCGTCCGTCCGTCCGTCCGTCCGTATGTATGAACGCAAGGATCTCAGAACCTACAAGAGCTAGAGACTTGAAATTTTAGATGTAGATGCTCCTAGTTCCCGGAGATCGAGTTTGTTACCGATAATCGATAACTTACTCCGTTTCCAAGCAATCGATATCGATATCCAGTTTTTTGGGCAATGTTGGTAAATAATAAGAGCTAGAGTCACCAAACTTGACATATAGCTTCTAAAATAGAATATATATATATGCATTTGATGTTGGAAGAAGAGGGTTCAGGGTATCGCCTAGTCGGGAGCTCCCGACTAGAACCTCTTACTTGTTTCAATTATTGATTTCTAATTCAAATAATAATTATTTGAAATAATAAATGTTTTGTATAGAAACATTCGAGTCGCAAATAGTCTGAAAGGTTAAAGAAATAATGCTCAAATTTGATTTAAGGGGAATATATTTTGCCTGAATTTACATGTGATAGGGCACATAAATCACAGCGAATGGCCTGCAATTAATGACGGCAATTTTAAAATATTTCGCAAAATTGGCGCTCCAATTGCCACGCTCACAAACTGGTTACACTAGCCAACATAATTAGTGTTTTAGCTGTTGTGCTCTGGGGCCCCGAAAGATATATGCATAATTATCTGCCTCGGGGTTATTTATGGTGCGGGGCCAACGCTGCGTATGAGCGTTATGCGTGGGCGGCGGCCATTTGAGCGTGCATTTCTAATGCAGCTATTGTTTGCTATGAGTGTGTGCCAGTGTGTATGTGTGTGTGTTGTGTGTGTGTTGTGTGTGCCATGCAAATTTTTGCACTCTGCCTTCATCGGAAGTTGCTGAATTTTGATTTATGCCAGCGAAATTTATGCCACAGCAACAGTAACAAGTAAGGGAGCGAGTAAACGGGTGTGTCCGACTAGCAGATACCCTGCAAAAGCCAAGTCACACACACCCTGCATGCAAGCTTCTTCTTCTTGTCTCAGCTTTAGAACCTAGCCTTAGACTATGTATGGAATATTTCGGCTTTTAAGAGTCCGATTTTTATGAAATTTTCAGGGCTTTAATATGGCATGAAATATCATAAATACCCAAGCCTAAGACTTGACATACATAAAATGCGTTGATTTGAATTTGTGGGGAACAGCTTGAGAAATATTCATTATTAAAATAACATATTCGGAAATAAACAGACCAAGTTTCTATCCAGAGATAAGATATGCTCAACAAATCGTATGTCTCCAAATCGATAATTATCGATGGTACACAAATAAGAGAAGATTTTAAGAATATCCAGTTGTGATAAAGTAGAATATGGATTTTAAATTTTCAGTTTTATGGGTAACAGCGGGAGCTTAGCCTTAAGCTGATATGTTCATATTATACCAAATCGATAATTATCGATAGTATGAAAATAAGAGAAGATATTAAGAATGTCAAGATGGGATTGAAGTTTTCTCGGGAACAGCGTGAGCTTAGCCTTGAGCTGAAATAATGCATAATATGGATATGATTTTCGTGAATATGCAGAACAATTTTTTTTTCAAGAAATATCTAGCACTTACATTATCGATATTTATCGATAGTATGAAACTGAAAGCAGATATCGTTAATATAGAGAGATATCGATATATGGTAAAGGAGTATATCTCTAGCTCATTCACACAGACAGACAGACGGACGAAAGGACAGACGGACGGACATGGCTCCAGCTCCAGCTATTGATCAAGAGAATATATGCCTAATGGGGTGGCAGATATCTGCTGCTGACTGTCATACATATTGGCATAAAACTCTGACAGCCTAAGCACTTTTTGCCCTAAACCCTTTCTGACAACATGATTTAAGATGCCTTAAATTTCGAACGCACTTTGTGGCAGCTTAAAGCGTGGCAGCAACAACTACAACAACAAGAACAACAACCTCGTCGGCATTTGGCTATCTGCAACGTCATCAGACATTAGAGAGACTGACATTATAAATGGGCCTTGCACACGCCTTGTTTATTATTATTTATCATATTGTGTTTGCAAGCAAATTGCGTAGACCTGGGCCCCAAGCAGTTAGGCAGAAGCACAAGGACACGCCGAAGGACGAGCACGCAGCCATTTTGAAGTTATCACATTTCTCGCTTCTCGTTCGAGAGGCCGCGCGCGCACACCGGAAATACGCGCAGGATGCCAGGATGTCGGGATGCCGGGCTGCCGTGCGACGCGTGGCTATGCTGGGCTGTATCAAAAAAAAGATTTGACGAGCATACGCATACATATGCTAAACGCACACACACACACACACACACAGACAGACATTGCGATATTTTGCATATAGAGCTAATGACATAATACCCGCGCGCAGCATTTTAATTAACAGGATGGGGAGACACGCGCCGTCTCAGGCACTTTAATGGTTTGTAAGATTTACCTATCAGCTCTGGTTAATGGTCTTTTATTTTTCTCTCGTTTGGGGGCGTGGTCATTTAACACGCACTTACATTCGTGATTTTGTAAATGTCAGCAGTGTGCAGCTGAGCAAAGCCGGCGGCTTTTTTATTGACGTTGAGCTGAAATTTGAAACATCTTTCTATTTTTTTTATTATCTACAGGGAGTGGGAAATTTCAACTATATGGGATAGTGGACCAAATAATTATGTTGTGAGATTTTGATGCCAAATTGATAAAGAGGTGAAAACATTAACAAAAAGTCAAAGCTTGTGAAAATCGGTTAAGATTTGACTGAATTAAAAGGTTGGGGAAATTTGACAAATCAGCATACGGTACATTTGGTCTATATAGGATATTTCAAAGTACCAAGCTTACATGAATTTTGACAAAAAAATAAGTTTCCAGATTTAAATGTCGAATTATTCTAGAAGCCTGACCATGAAGAAAAAACTAAACCTCGTGAAAGTCAGTTGAGTTTTCACCGAGTTATGGCCGTGGGAAATTTCGACCCATGTCCACATGGGATTTCGGAGGGTACAATTTTACATGAATTTCGACCAAAAATTACGTTCTCAGAGTTAAATGTCAAATTATTCTAGATGCCAAACCATGAAGAAAAAACTAAACCTCGTGAAAATCTGTTGAGTTTTCACCGAGTTATGGGGGTGGGAAATTTTTATCAATGTCTATATGGGATATTTGGTCTGCATAGGATATTTGGGGGTGCCCAGACTTGGATGAATTTCGACTAAAAATTATGTTCCCAGATTTAAATGCCAAATTATTCTTAGGGCCAAACCATGAAGAAAAAACTAAGCCCCGTGAAAATCGGTTGAGTTTTGACCGAGTTATGTGAATGTGAAATTTCGACCCATGTCTATGTCCAAAACTAGGGCTAAGATTTTGACATGAAATTCGACCAAAAATTTTGTTGTCAGATTTAAATGCCCGATTAATCTAGGGGGAAAACCATGAAGAAAAAGCCAAGCCCCGTGAAAATCAGTTGAGTTTTGACCGAGTTATGTGAATGGGAAATTTCGACCCATGTCTATGTCCAAAACTAGGTCTATGCCCAAAACTAGGGCTAAGAGTTTGACATGAAATTCGACCAAAAATTTTGTTGTCAGATTTAAATGCCCGATTAATCTAGGGGGAAAACCATGAAGAAAAAGCCAAGCCCCGTGAAAATCGGTTGAGTTTTGACCGAGTTATGTGAATGGGAAATTTCGACCCATGTCTATGTCAAAAACTAGGGCTAAGATTTTGACATGAAATTCGACCAACAATTTTGTTGTCAGATTTAAATGCCCGATTAATCTAGGGGGAAAACCATGAAGAAAAAGCCAAGCCCCGTGAAAATCAGTTGAGTTTTGACCGAGTTATGTGAATGGGAAATTTCGACCCATGTCTATGTCAAAAACTAGGCTTATACCCAAAACTAGGGCTCAGATTTTGACATGAAATTCGACCAAAAATTTTGTTGTCAGATTTAAATGCCCGATTAATCTAGGGGGAAAACCATGAAGAAAAAGCCAAGCCCCGTGAAAATCGGTTGAGTTTTGACCGAGTTATGTGAATGGGAAATTTCGACCCATGTCTATGTCAAAAACTAGGCTTATGCCCAAAACTAGGGCTAAGATTTTGACATGAAATTCGACCAAAAATTTTGTTGTCAGATTTAAATGCCCGATTAATCTAGGGGGAAAACCATGAAGAAAAAGCCAAGCCCCGTGAAAATCGGTTGAGTTTTGACCGAGTTATGTGAATGGGAAATTTCGACCCATGTCTATGTCAAAAACTAGGCTTATACCCAAAACTAGGGCTCAGATTTTGACATGAAATTCGACCAAAAATTTTGTTGTCAGATTTAAATGCCCGATTAATCTAGGGGGAAAACCATGAAGAAAAAGCCAAGCCCCGTGAAAATCGGTTGAGTTTTGACCGAGTTATGTGAATGGGAAATTTCGTCCCATGTCTATGTCCAAAGCTAGGGCTAAGATTTTGACATGAAATTCGACCAAAAATGTTGTTGTCAG